TTGTCCAGGCCATGCATGCTGTAAGACAACAGGAGGTGTGCACTGGGGGATTGTGCACTGCCCTATTCCCTTCACAGGGTAAAACTTCCTGAACATGTTATTTTTCACTGCTGACATATTCATAAGCACATCAGACATGAATAGGAGCTGTCTTATCAATGTTTCCAAAGCCCTCAGAGAACACAAGGAAGATGAAACAGAGGAGTGTCCAGCATCCACTTATTGCACAGATTTTTTAACATGTTATTAAATGTCATAAGCCAAAGCCCAGCCATATGTGCCAACATATTGCACTGCAAGTGCCTGAGGTACTTACAGTTATATGTGATTACGTGCAATGCAGAGTTTGAGTGGGACGTCAGGATGAATTCTGAATTGAATTTCACTTCATCTAAGCTCTATATTGTTTGAGGCTGTTTTGTTTTTGGGTTTTTTTTTTTTGTTTTTAATACAGAAGAATAAAATATCCTGTAGGGTTTTGTTTAAATTCTGTCACTTACAGAACAATTTAGATATCAGGGGGAAGTTCTTTACTGAGAGAGTGATGAGGTGCTGGAACAGGCTGCAGATGCTCTGTCCCTAGAGGTGTGTAAGGCCCAGTTGGGCAATCTGAGCTAATACTTCATCTAGCAGTAGGCAGCTCTGCCTGTGTTGAGAGGTTGGAGCTTGACAATCCTCCAGGTCCCTTCCAACTCAAGCCATTCTGTAATTCTTTGAACACTTCTGCAATTATAACTATCATCACCACCTCTTTATCTTTCCTAATATAACACAGTTTATAATGACAGTTTTATTTTCAGTGTCTGAAGATAGCACTGTTCTGCTGCTTTCTCCTGATTGTTCAACAGTGACATTTTCTAGATCCCATACAAAGCCACGTTAGGCTCTGTGAGTTTCTACAAAAACAATTCGGTGCCTGAAATGTTGTTAGAAAGCTGTAGTTGTCCTCTCTGCCAGGAGAGAAGTTCAGCACAGTGCAGGCAGTGACCACAACGGGTCCATCTGTAGGAGCAAACCTCACCCCGTCTCAGGGGAATGGTGCAAACATCAGGCCTAGTTTGAATATTTTATCCTGTTTTCACAGTAATCTTCCCAAAAAGGGTCTCAAAAATTCCCAGCTCACCCCATATCTGCACCACACGAGGAAAGTGGAATTTTGCTGTAAAATAAAGAAATAACGAGCAATACTGGGTTCATAAGAGGTGCAGGAACAACTCCTGCTCTTATTAACTTCATCAGAAGGAAGAGCAGGCTGATAGGTAAGCAAGGTAAAATATTCAAGCATACTTCATTTTCTGTCCAATGTTAGTACATAAAAACGTGTACTTTTTAAATCTAAAGTGAATATATAACTGTCTGTAATGAGAAACATTGTTAGTGAGTCATTAGAGCATGGCAAGCAGCGTTAACCACATTACATCAGGTGAGAGCATTAGAATACAGTATAGATATATTATCTCAGCATAGAGCATCTAAGAACTTAGCATCTATGTTATGCCTAAATACCAAAGTGACATCTCTATTATCTGCAATGGAAACCTGAATTCTGTCACTGATAATCACAATAAATGCACCAAGTGCTGCTTCAGCATCAGACTGCCTCTGGAACACTTCAGTGCAGACATGATTGTCTGAGACATTACAGCCAGGATCCAGGCTAACATCTTGCAGACCATCAATCTGCAGCACAACCAAAAACCAGCACTGCTGCTTCCATGGAACCATTAACCATTTGGAATGCTCTCTAAGGACAGTGACATACTCCCTGACCTCCAATTACAAAATAAACAAGAGAGTTTGGCAAAGCAGATTGTGACAACAAAAAGAGTATAGATAGAAAGCTTACCCATATCTTGGGCTCACTTACAAAACTCCAGCAGAGCAGATCTCCAGAAGAGATCCTTCCCCACTGTTAGCCAGCTCTTAAATAGGTCTAGGAGGCACAGAGCCTGGCACCTCTCCTAGACCGATGAATTGCCTTCACCTGTGCTCCTCTGGCTGACTCATTGCTCGCCTCAGGTGATCAGTCAGAGGTTCAGGCCATGACTTCAGCAGTTCCCATACAACTGTTCACTGAAGTGGACTTTCTAAATGTTTATTAGATGGGAACAGACAGTGGGGCAATGTTTCTCAAAAGCAATCAATCCATCTTTCATTTCTTGCTCCCAAAATACAACACAACTACAAAAGACATGCATCCTCCTCAGCCCACACTACAGCCAATTTTTCTCATATTTCCTCAGCCTACTTTTATTTTTCCTCTCACTGATAACTAATTAAGATCAGAAAAAAAAATCAACTGGCATCTAGTTTTGAAGTCTATTGCCTGTATTTCATGTTTAAAAGAACTGCACACCACAGAATTTGTCTACTTTTTCCCATCTATACAAAGATTAAAAGTTTCCTATGCCTAAATTACATTTTAATTGTCTTTGGAGTAGCACAGATGTGATCCATGCAAAGGAAGGGGGATTCCTCCCCCTTCAAGCCATTAGGCCTTCCGGACACAAAGTTGTTGCCAGTGGTTTTATATTCCCATAAACCAAACAAGGAGGAACCAGTCAGGAAAACACTTGCATTGTCTGACTGATGTTTTTGCCAATGGAATATTCTTATTAATATTTTTTTTATAATTATTTTTATGATTTCTTCTGATCAAGTACACTCAAATAGTTTTCTCATCTCACTAGCAAGTGTTGTGTTCCCTGGAACATCAACATACGTTTAACTCCAAGCTCATCATTTTTTCTTGCAACAGACTTGTTACTGAAGTGCAATTCTCTTCCACAACTGCTGAAACATAAAGATGATTTTCCTGTTGCGCATGTAACTAAAAGTAAAAGGAAAAAATGTGACCTTGGTTGCATTTGCAGGAGCCTCGTGCATTCACTGGGGTTTTTCCACAATGCTCCTGGAACTTGTTTCTGCTGTACTCCAAAGGAAAACTTCAGGGATTCCTCCTTGTTCCTACTTATTCAGAACTGTGAAACAGGTTGTGTGATAGAAGAAAAAGTAACTACCTGACATACCACTTCTGTATGGGGCACATGGGCTATTTGATTTTAGAAGGGAGGTCTTTCCTTTCACACCTTACCAAGTACCACCGTGTAATTGGGTTTCAGTAGAGTAAACTCCCTGTGAATTTATAGGCCCTGGTTGTATGGTGCTTAGCAGAGGAAACATACCAAGCCAGCAATCCTAGGGCAACTTCTGAAAGGATAATGTTAATGTTTACAACACGCAACGCTTTCTGAAGCTGCTCACCCACAGATTTGGGCATGAAACTGTGTGAAGTTATAAGTTCAGCTTTTGTTCTCCTTTCCAGCACGATTTGTAGACCAGAAATACTTTCTGAAACTGTTGCTATGCCTTAAAGAAGTAACCCCAAGAAAAACAAGTCAGGCCATAGTGCCCTGCAGAACTTATCCTGACCAATATCTTACATCTGATGACAAACTAGTGCACTTCTATTTTAAATGAAGGGAAAATATATCTTGGATACATTTGATTAGAACAGGCAATTTCCAAAACTAATGATACAGTTTACAAATGTACAGTCTTTATAAAACAGAACTAGGTTTTTGTTCATTCAACTCTTCCAGGAAAAAAAACAACGTGATGAGTCTTTCCTATTCCCACCTTTGCCACCAGCTGAAAGCTATACAGCATATCATTCTTGTGCCACTAATGCTAAAAGATCAGTCTTTAGCAGAGGAATTAGTTCCCAGCTGAGAAAAGGAGACACAGATAAGGGTGATTAATTCAGTTATGCCAAGATAGTTACTGCTTTGAGAACACAGATTTGACAGAAAGCAAGCACACAAGAATTCACACTTTGATCTCACAGTTTTCCAGTCAGCTTATAATATCCAGAACTTTATTTTTCAAAGAAAAGAAAACATCAGGTTAATGGCAAACAGTAAGTCACAGACAGCAGAATATAACATTCACATCTTACTGTTTCATATATAAACCTTTACTTTAAAGTGTTATCTAAAATAACATACATGGTTACCAGACCAAATAGCCCATTATAACCTATGCTGAAAATATCATCTTTATTTACAGGACACTAATTAAAATGGACTCTAATTGGGTATGAGATCTGCAGCAAGCTATTTCTCTCTCAGAGCCAGAGCACAGCCCAGCCTTAAGCTGCTAGGCAGAGCTCTATAGAGAGAGATGCCCCTCACATACATGGGGAGAAAGCATTGGCAAGTGAATATCTGGCTCATCTGCTTCTGGAAGAGGTGGAAAATAGCTTGCAAACCATTACTCTGATCAGGCACCATGTTTCGTTACCTATTCCACACTTTAGGCTTTACAAATTACATTCTATCCTTTGCTCCAGTGAACACTTAAGTTCTCTTTCAGCCCTTGGAGTTGTTCTGCCAATATGATGCAGAATTTAGGACAACAAAACTTAAGCATCCTTTCATCCTGTATGAACTTCTACACATATACATTTATCATCATCTTCTAGCACTGCTAATCATCACATCTACAAGAAATAAACAGAAATAAGAGAAAATCAGGGGTACATGATGTTATTTTATAGGCACTTCTATAACCACGTAAATTGCTCCATTGTGAACTTATTAAAGTGATCTGCTTTAAAGAAAAACAACTAGCCTGGGTAGCACTGAAATGCTGCCTTTGAGGATCCCAAAAATTCTGCTCTGCCTTACAGAGCATGAATTAAATACCAGGAGAATCATTCCTTGCAAACCGAGCATCCAGCGTGCACGCAGCAGCAGCTCGCACAGAGCTGTGTCACATAATGCAGTAGCTCTTTAGTCATTTAATGAGAATGCTCTGCTTCAAAAGAAACAGCTAATCAGATAATCACATTAGACTGTATCCCATAGGCCTCGAGCAGTCAAGCTCCCAGAAACATCATTGAATAAGACAACAGGATTATGTCTTATGACCACACATTGTATTTATCACAAAGCACGGCCGATATTCACACTGTCATTATAAGATTATTACATGGTTACCCGTGTTCTATAAAATAGAGATGTCATGTTGAACCGATTATGAAATGGTACTGCAATTTTAAATATTCTTAGCACGTTACTTTTATTATTAATCATTATGTATCACCAAAACATCAGTACTTCAGTGTAAACATTGCAAAACATACACGTGACTTAACAGATGAAATACAGACAGAATCAAACACTCCTGATCTGTTATCTACCCACAAGATCTACAAATAAGGCATATGGTCAGCAGAGTAGGAGAAGATAAATTAACAGCCCGAATGCTTTGCTTTCCTCCCACACACCTTAACTCTGTCAGTTATTCTGCTGGATTCCTCTTAGCAAATCAGGTATCTTCAGGAGGTCACACCTGAGGAAGGCTGTTAGCAGTCTGAAACGTCATTCTTTTAGTTTTGTCGCTTTCCTGTGCACAAAGGAAACAAGCAGTGAATAGCTAGAGGGCTTAGTCTTCAAAAAAAATATATCAAAAACTTGACAGAGTTTTCTGCTAGGAAGATAACTGCGTGGCCTGAGAGACTTCACTTGTTCACTCTCACGCTCTCATACACAACTGACACTTTATCCCACCGAGAGGATCTTGACATAAAACTGCAGAACTGATCACATCTCTGTGATAGATGCCTGACAGTTTTCCCACACAGCAATGTCAAAACTTCCCATCAGTAGCTGCAAACAGAATTAGCAGGGTGGCCACTTAGCAACCAAATGCTTTTGTTTTTGCAATCTTACAGCGTGGCGTCGCCTCTTTTTAGGTTGAACCCACTCCTGTTCATGTGATGGCCAGTGAAAATCCTGGTGGGGCATTTTGCTGTTGTGGTTCTCCAACTCTTCACAGTCACTGTCATCTTGTTGCGCTGAGGGGAAGTGCCTATCCGGATAAATCTCTTTCAGTTTGCCCTCAAAGAATACATCTAGACATCGTCCAGCCTCAGCAACCTCTGAATCTGGCTGTAAGAGAATAAACAACCATTCAGTCTTATTGCACACAGAAACCATCAAGGATGAAATAAATGCCCACCTTTTCTTAATGTCTTGTCTTGGTTCTCCCTGCTTCGTCTCCATTAGTTTCCTGCACTCTTTCTACAGGCCATTAGTCCCTCTGCATTAACAGTGTAAGTAAAAACCAGATGCTGCTATTAAGGAAGATGATTCTGCACCTCTAAGAAAAGAGATGTGCAGTGGACTAGAAAGAATAGCATTTGCCATCACTCATGAATTTCTATGCACCTGAATTTTCCTAGCTATTCTTCTGGATACAGATGGTTTCTCACAGTAAACTCAGCGTCACTCTAGAAAGTTGTCAGCTAAAATATCCTCTTTAATTTTAGACCCATATGCATCTCCAGCTCTCAGCTGCGCGTTATCTTCATTTCTGCCATCAATAAAAAAATATGTACTTTCCAATGAGTAAAATTGATTAATCCTCTTGCTTATCCCAACCCTATACCCAATGTCAATGGAACCACAGAATCACAGAATCACAAGGTTGGAAACGACCTGCAAGATCATCCAGTCCAACCACCCTCCCATTCCTATCAGTGCCACAAGCTACTAAACCATCTCTCGTAGCTCCTCATCCAGGCGCCTCTTGAACACTGCCAGGGATGGCGACTCCACCACCTCCCTGGGCAGCCATTCCAGTGCCTGACCACCCTCTGAGAGAAAAAGTTTTTCCTCATGTCTAACCTGAACCTCCTCTGATACGACTTGTGGCCATTTCCCCTTGTCCTGCTCGTTGCCTGGGAGAAGATGCCAAACCCCTCTTCACCACAACCTCCCTTCAGGAAGCTGTGGAGTGCAATGAGGTCTCCCCTGAGCCTCCTCTTCTCCAGACTGAACAATCCCAGCTCCCTCAGCCGCTCCTCATAAGACTTGTGCTCCAGACCCCTCACCAGTTTTGTTGCCCTTCTCTGGACACGCTCCAGGGCCTCAATGTTTTTCTTGTAGTGAGGGGCCCAAAACTGAACACAGTACTCGAGGTGCGGCCTCACCAGTGCTGAGTACAGGGGGATGATCACCTCCCTGCTCCTGCTGGCCACACTATTTCTAATGCAGGCCAGGATGCCGTTGGCCCTCTTGGCCACTTGGGCACACTGTCGGCTCATGTTCAGCCAAGCATCAACCAACACCCCCAGGTCCCTTTCCTCTTCACAATCATCCAACCACTCATCCCCAAGCCTGTAACGCTGTCTGGGGTTGTTGTGGCCAAAGTGCAGAACCTGACACTTGGCCTTGTAGTGCTTGTAGTGTGGCCTTGTAGTACCAGTAGTGCTATGCCACTGTGACAGCTTTAAAGTGCAACCCTCACCCATGTATATTAGAAACCTACATAATTGAACTTTGCACAGTTCCAAAACATAAGACGCACGTCAGTCACAAGTTCCTCAGGTGCAGAATAGTGGAACTTATCCTTTTTCTGCAGCTTTTTTCTTATGATTGACAAATCCATTGGCCTTTTTATGATCTGATAATAGTGTCGAGCCTGCAATAAGAATAGAATACAGGTTTGTTACCTTTTTAATTAAAACATTTTCTCTCCAGCAACTTCTATTCAAGCTTGGATTGAAGTCACTGCAGAGGATTCCTTGCAGCAAAGAAGAGAACTCTGGTCTTCTGATACCTACACTTGCACACCCTCTTCCTGTGTGCCTTTAGGTTTGATTAAATGATGCTTGCTTGCAAAATCAGTCTTGAAAATAACATACTTCAATGACTACTGTGCTATTTGCACTTCCTAAAGTTTATCCCCAGATAGAAATGTCATCATTTAACCTTAATCAATAATATATGTAACACTGATAATTGGCTGCCATTTCCCCCAGGCCTTTATAAAAATAATGTGCCGAGGTACTGGAAGCTGATACTGTGGGAAGCAGTCTGCCAAGAGTGACTGAAAATATACTAATATGTGCTCTTCTTAAAGGTCAACAAAAGTCTTTTTCAATGCCACCAACCACCAGGATTTCTCCCTCCGTAAATCTTTCTGGATCAAAACTTACTTGTTACATAACATTATGTAATTCCATTAGATCAGTGCAAGCTTTATTAGGTGGAATGGTTTTTATCTTGTTATTTGCACAGTTCCTTCATGTCTACCTACTCTTTTTCTCTTGTTTCGCTCCTCTAACTTGTTTCACTTTCACTGTTAAAATTGCAAGAATCTAATTCTTGCAATTCATTGAATTCTTTAATTCATGACGTGTGCCAGAATATTCTTTTGGCTTCCCTCTGACACAGAGGTGCTCAGTACTTACCAGGGGGCTGACTGGTTCATGGAATGGGAGGCTCATACTACTGCAGAACAGGGAAAGCACCAGCTTTTCACATTTCTGTGGAAGCCAAATTTGAAATATATTTTAATCCGAAACAAGTGAGTTTCATCCTTGTTCTTAGTTAATCCTACTAACCACAAGGGGAGCTTTTACATAATCTTTACACTTTTGATGCAAAATAGCATGCTTCATTCTAACCTGTGGGATGTTATGCCTTGCTGCCTTTTATAGTTTAGAAAGTGAGAATGGTAAAAGAAATGGGGGAAAAAAAAAGAAAAAAAAGAAAAAAAAAAGCTTTATGGAAAGTATTTTGTATGCACATGTTTTTCCTGGAAACTCTTGGGAATTCCTCACTGACACAGTTTCTAACCAATTCCATTTTCTAAAAAGAACTTCACAAATCCACGCTCAGACCACGACTATTTCTGGTCAGCTGTACCCTTTCTAATACAAACAGGAATCACATAAAAGTTCAGAAGTTACATCCAGTTCTTTATGCAGCTCAGGTCTGGAATCATCACAGATGAAATTGTATGGTGCTGTGGCTCATAAGCCTTGCTGCAGTGCTCTGAGAACCATTGCTGAGGCCCTTAAGTACAGTGCCTAATCCTAGGTTTCGTTTGTGCAGTGCCAGCTCAGCAACTGTACTCAGCAATGTGAATTCAGTATCTCTGTCCAGCTGTCACTAATATACACAGGACATCTGTTTGGAGCTTTAGCTTCCTAGCATCAAATAGGCTGTAAGAAATAGTAATTTTAATAAGAGATTTGGAAAACTGGTAATGAAGATACAAAAGGATAAAATTTCCTCTATGCTGGTTTAGCAGTGCCTAGATGTCATCCTAAAGGTAATTAATGTTCAGTATGAACTAAGTAAGTTGACTGCAATTCAGCTGAGAGTCAAAAAGTGTCTGCATCAGAAAATGTCCTTGCAATTGGCCTGAGTAGATGTCTGAGAGCGTGCCAAGTCTTGAAAGAAAAAGATTTGGTGGCACAGTGCCAGGCACAGTCGACACAGAGAGGGATGCTCTGCTGCCAAATGTGACTTCCTTGTTCATTTTTCTGTTGCATCACTTTCATTTTGAATTAAACAATTTTCTAGAAAGAACAGAACGACATAAGTGAATACTAACAATTCTTCTGTTGTATTTACTATCCTCAGAAACACTCTAGGAGCAACTAACTCAAAACAGTTGACTTTCCAGTGAAGAGACAAAGTCTCAAGCTGAGGTCATATGTCCTTTCCTATACAGTAACAGGATGTAGTTATTCCCACCTTCTGATCATAGTCATCAAGGCCATATTGTGCATTATAACTATGAGCATAGCGTGTGTTTTCACAGTCGTATTCTACCTCTGGTTTCATTGGATTACGGCAAAGTGTACACACCCATTCTCCCCTGCAAAATAAGAAACCAAGAATCTGTGTAACAACTGGTCAGCCACTTTGTCAAACAACAAACATCAGAAATCACTATATTCGAAACTCATTTTTAACACATATTGCAACTGCAGATAACCTTAAATCTCAAGCCCGTTCTATTAGATGCTTTTGAAGGTATTGGAATACAACTCAAAATGCAGTCATTTCAGATTTTACTTATTGCATTGCTTTTGTTACAGACAAAAAAAAAAAAAAAATAGGTAGCATTTGAAACCATATAACCAAAATGTGTGTAGCTGCATTCACAAAATTGCTAATTCACGAAATCAAATAAAGAAATCAGCAGCAAGCAAAGTGAAAATACAGCCAACAGTAAGATGGTAAGACAAAACTTGATCCATTAGATAATAAATATCAAGGAAATAATCAAGGAATATCAAGGAAAATAGCATTATCACAAAAGTTAGTGTGCACAAGCATGTGGGATCCCAAAACAAGTAGACATAATTATAGACATAATTCGGCATGAGGCTAAGCCCTGTTCCTAGTAGATCTATTTTCAGAAATCCCTTGAAGAATGTCATGAGGAGAGTGCCAGACTTCTGCAACATCAGGACCAGACATATGTCTATTACAGAACTATGAATACAGAAGTTTAGTTAGCAAGAGTAATTATATTTCATTAGAAATTAAAATTTGCCTAGGAAGCTTATTCTACAAGGAAAATTTGTTTTTCAGTGCTTTAAAATGAGAGGTTAGTGATGACTCAGCTCTTACACAATAGAGGGAAAAGCCCAAGACATGGAACTTACTGCTTTTTGAACAGACAGAACAAACTAGTCTCCAAAGTAACATCCCACAAGGTATTTGCACAGCAGAGACCGTTATTTGGCCTTAGCACAAACAAAGTAGTCTTTGGACCCACCTAGAAATGATTTGTAGCTGACTTCAGAATGATACAACACCAGGAATGCATATTACTTCTGAAGTTTGGTATGTGGACGTGTAACTCAGTCTGTATGATTGTCACATACCATTTGTCTACGTGAAGTCGCTAAGGACTGTATGTCTTTGGAAATCTATTCTAAATGAACACTGCCACAAAAACTTCATTAATCCCAAATTTCCCCTAAGCCTGGCTGGAAAACTGAACAGGAAGGAGGTCAATGATTGCCTTTCCTCATGCAGGGAAGAACTGACACACAACAGATGTTGCATGAAAGTTAGAACTTTATTTTTCTCCAGTAAGGTATAACAATGTTTTAAAAGCTCTAGGTCTGCTATCTACTTCATTGTAGTAGCCAGCTAACTTTATAGAAGGCACACATGGCTTAGAATAGTTGTTAATATTTCATCTAGTAAGACAATTCCGATTCTAGGAAAATAACTTAAAAAGTAAGAAAGAGATGCAGTTACCCTCCTGTTAGGTTGACACATACATCCCTAAGGTGACATTCTACCCCAAGGAAATAACCAGAAAGAGAGCACATTAGCAAAACGCCACGTGTACTCACACTGGAAAGCTGAGTAGGGCTGGAACATGGCAGGAGAGATGGAAGACCTTGGGGCAATGATCACAGCACAGCAGTTCTCCTCCATTAAGACACACAGCACAGAAGTCTTCATTCTCAATTGTATTGACTTCCTGAGTAACTGGAGATTTTTTCATGATGGAGGTACCATTGGTGAGCTTCTGATCGACAGATGGAATATCTGCAGGAGGAGATTTTATTTGTCCTGCATCCTGGGTTATGAGAAATTTTCTGTCATCTGCGTTCTCCTCTTTGGATTTCAGTCCTTCAGGTGAACCACCTTTATTTATCTTGAAGAAAGAAAAATCTGGGATAACACAATCATCACTTTCATATAGAACATATAGAACAGCAGCAGTTATCTGCAGAAAAAAAAAAAAAGTTTCTCTACAGTGAACTCTTCTGCGGAGGAAACTGGGGTTTGGCAGGCCTATGCTCAGCTCAGCACCAGCCAGTGGTTGGCCAGGTCAAGTCATTTTCTTTACATACCACTGTGTTATAGCACAGACAGAGATGTACAGATCTCATGTCATGAATACCAGATACAACATCTTTGATGACCTTATTTGCTCTTCATGGAAACTGCACATTATACAGGTGCAGGTGCAATTTTTACAGGAAGCAACTGAAAAAAAAACAAAAAAAAAAAACAAAAAAACCCAAGAAAATAGTTTTTTCTTCCCAGTACAAATTCTAGTTTCCTTCTGTGGAAAGAAGTTCACTTTTAAGACACTGGGGAAGTGATAGAATATTAAGCTTTCAAAAATCTGTAACACTGTTATTTCTGGAATTGGTTCCCATCACTCATGTTGCGATGCCTGAACAAGGATTCAGATCAGTTTCAAGCTATTTATGCTGTGTTTGTAATTTGATAGACAATCTAGGCTGTTAGAACACAAAAATGCTACAGCTATCTGATCTCAGAGAGGGACTTCTCACAAATAGAAGTAACAGGAAGCTACACAGCAAACAAAAGCTGCATGCTCTTACTTCAGCCCATCACAGATGTATTAAGAATGAAATTAATCAAGAAACCTGTGCTAAGTGTATAATGACTTCCAGGAACTCTGAATACTATAGGTCAGCAAGACAGGGAGAAAGCAGGTAAAACTTCAAGCAAATCCCACTCACTTTTATAGCCATACTTGAAGACTGAGTCCCATGCTCAATTACCAGGAGAAAATTGCCCTCCTGCCCACTCTCCTGTGGCTGGAGCTTAAAAACTGGTAGCTCGCCAGATTCCGATGCACATATTTTCAGACGTTCCAGTCTCACGTAGGGGATCCTTGGCTCTCTAGGGCAAGCACCACCATTAAAATAACATATGGTTAAAGTCAATCACATTCCACACAATTCTCCTCCCTAGTCATTTTCAACATTTTTCATGTACTATTCTTCTCTTTTTCCTTCATTAGCTGTGGCTCTGGTGGCTAAAAGTTGACTAAAGGGTTAACTGGTTAAAAGGATTTTTAAATGCCAGTTCTTTATGAAATCAGAGTGCAAACACTTTCATTTAATCATGTGTGCAAATGCATCAGTACCTTCTGCCCTTTCCCCATATACACTGGCATACAACCCAAGTCATGTTCGATGCTTTTCAAATAAGAACTCAGCATAACATTCAACCTTAAGATATTAGCACAGCAATAGACAAAAACAAAACTTATTAAAATTCTCAATGTAATATTAATCCTGTTCCCAACTTACTTTTTTGGCTTTAAATGGGACTAAACAGTTTACAGTTGTCCAAATGACAAATGTTTTCATTTATATACTCTGAAAATCACAAGAGAATTATAGGCATGCATGAACACATCACTTCTTTTAAGCTGTAGTTTTCAAGTTTAAGAGAATACTCCATAACTTTCAGAATTATTATCTATAAGGAGCATTGCATTCTTCTTAAAAAAACTTTTCCATTTGCATTAAGTAAGAGACATTTTCTAAACACGTGAATAAAATTCCATGACTAGTGCTGTTGTATAAAAAAAGACTGTTACCTGACATTCTGATTGCCTTTCATAACCATTTCAAAATGTTCCTTTTCACAATTATTGGAAACTGGAACAGAAAAGAAGAAAAAATAAAATATTTATAATATCAGAGTCAGATTTGGGTAGAAAATACTTTAATATTCATGTACTTCTGACTGCTGTTTAATATGATAACATAAGTGAATTATGTGATCAGTTCATCAGTATGTATATTAAATGTGTGTGCTATTTTCTATTCTGGGGAACATTCTTTGTCCTTGTCTTAACTAGAACTTCTGTACTGTATATGAGGAGCCTTTCCAAAACATTTTGCTGAATTGGTTACATTCCCTTGGAATTATAGACATATACAGACACACTGCACACATCCATACACAGGGAACATCATGAGTAATCCTTTGTGCTATATAGCCTTCACTTGGCAAAAGCAGACCCACAGCCTAAGGCTCAGGAAGCCTTTGCAGTCTCCTGTTCCATACTTAGAAGCTTCTGGATAATTCTAGTTACTCAAAAACAGGAAAGAAATTATGACTCTCTTAGGGACAAAAGCTACATTGTATGATCCTTTATATCCTCCAGCGTACGTAACGTAAAAACATATTAATTCAAAACTATCCATTATATAAGCATGTAAATAACCACAACTCTTGACCAACACTAGGCACAGGCAATGAAACAACTTTGGAGAGATGGACTAGGGGCAAGGATAGAATAGGGGCAGGGATGAATGCTCTAACAGGTGCTCTTGTATAGAACAGTCCACTGACATCACCCGTAACAACTTTGTTACGAATTATTTCAACATGGATAATATTAACAAGAAAATAAAGCAAATATGTCTACCTGGAGACAAGTGTGTGCTACCAAAACATGCTTTTTTAAAGGAAATCTAGCTGGGGTCAATGGTCCCTATCCTGTTGTGTAAGAGCAATGTACCTTCATGATACTCTATCACTGTTCTGAGTCACTGGGAACAAAACAAGACTAACAAGTAGAAGTGTGTTTCATGTCGTTCACCTACAACTGTTGCTCAGTTGAAATTTAACAGATGAGAATCTGCAAAGAATTACTAAAGTATGACCGCATACTGATCTGAAGCTCTTGCTGCCCTTTGTCAAAACAGGATTTTCCAGTGGTGCTGGAATCCCAATATTAATCAACTTTTCCATCAGCTACTTGGCTTATGAGGAAGCATACTTATACAAATTTGAGAAAGACATCAACCCAGAGGAGTTGCAAGAATGTTAAAAACTCAAAACTTATCTTAATACATCATGGAAAAACCTCCAAAGTCAGCAGGAATTAACTGAGACAACACCAAGTATGAAGGAAAGTGTATGAAGGAAAGTGATTGAATTAGCATAGGAAAATGACTGACGGAGATGAGAACTGTTTAGTAGAAATAACTAAGGGTGAGTGTCATACTATTCACTACATGCAAGTTAATCTTGTAATGAAGCTGCAGAAAAATGGCAAATGCTGCTCACTGCCTGTAGTGAGGAATATAAAACACAGGAGCTGCTTTGCTCAGTGCCCCAGAGGCCTCAGCTGTAACACTATGTTCAGCCCTGGGCTGCACAGTAATTGCAGAGCCCAGACATTACACAACTGCTCATCTCCAAAAGACTTAAGCCTAACTGAGGCACAGCTTTTTAGGGGCACAGATGATCCTTGCTACTCACACAGCTGATTGTGGCATAATTGTCACAACTTGGCATAGTACATCTAAGAGAAGACAAACTCATCTACTTGGCTCACTGAACTACGTCTTCTTTGTACTAATTAGAATTCTCGGAATAAAAACACAGCATGGAGATAGAAATATTAATTCATCTTTTACAGGGAAATGCAGCCAAATATTGGCATAAGTCACAGAATAGCAGTTTGATCCCGAAATCCTTTGCTTGCATGAATAGTTCCATTGACTTTTAGAGTTTGCAGGAATGAGGCTATACAGTGCAGCACAAGGCTGCTGGCAATTTGCCCACGTAAAGAGTTAAATAAGGTCTAATTCCCTATTAAGACTAAAGAAATAGGCCTTGGCTGAAGGGAATGTTCCACAGTAGACAGAGCCAAGCAAAAGCACATACTGTGCAATATATTAACCTCACAAAAATTTGCTCTGCTACTGACATGAAGGACTTAGCAGAAGGCACATCACATTTTGGAAGTAATTTTTTTTTTTTTAATTGAATTTGGACTCTCCAAACCAGCTCTTCAATAGTCATAACTGCAGGTCTCATTAATGGGAGTGTTTCTCAGAGAACTAATACTCCAGGTACTTCACACAGATGCATGCGTTTCTGGCTCAGAGCTGAAGGATGTTACAGATTCAAGGCATATCATTTTCAAGTTTTTCTCCACAAATGAGATCAAATACTTTTCCACTGGATTAAGTACTTGATAATTGAAGCTTGCTGGGGAAGCACATTTGTGAAAGTACATCAATATGCAAACTGCTTTGCAACGCTTGTAATGTACAGTAACAAGAAAGAAAAACCCCAAACTTAAACGAAACAATGAAAAGCCTGTTACCTTCTTCATTTCTAAGTGATCTTATCCTGGCATTCACAGGAAGAAGAGAATTGTTGCTGAGCAGTTCAGAAGGAGAAGTACAACGATGAGATTTTTTGACCGAAAGATTAATAGGTTCTTCCAGAACGTTTTGCATAGAAAGACTTAATTCATTCACTACATCTTGTTCAGCTGTAGCCAAGCTGTTTTCTGGCTGATGATCCACAGAATTGAAATCTTCATTTTCCAGCTTCAGAGGAAAAAACATTAAACCCAATTATTAATTTTCTTAATAAAAATAACAATGCAATCAGTCTTTAAGTACCAGAAGAAAACCATACTTATTGAACAGCTGTTTTTACATGACTAACTACAGCATGTGCTATCAATGAAAATGGATTCCATTTCAGTAGAGGAGTTTGAGTGACTCCTACCTTGCACTTTGTGCTGCCCTGATGTGCATCATCTGGTGTGAGGGCAGTAGAAATCCCAGGGTTCAGCTCAACTGGAGCTCTTCCCAGTGCCAAACTGTAGCTAGGCACTGGCTCTGGTGGAGTATCACAGTCACAGCGGGTGCTTGGGGATGGGCCAAGTGCCACAGTGGCTATGCCTTGCACCTGTGGGTCGACCGACCTCGATAATCTTGAAGGCAGTTCCATTTCTAAATCGTTTGAAAAGCCCACAACGCCTAATGATGCTGAAGGCTGGGAAAGGAAATAAAAACAGTTTGGTTAACCAGGTTTTAGAAGTAAAACACTGCTGTTTCTGTAATGGTTTAGACACTGCTATTGTTAAAGAAGCAGTTGAGTCACAAGGTCATGACAGTATCTACCATAATCCAATACCGTTTCCAGAAGCTTCACAGTACCCCTATTGAAACTGAAAACTAGAAAAGGAGGTGCCTAGGTTACTCCTCTGTGATTTACAAAAATTGCCATCCTTTGATCACTCCAAGGGATTCAGATTTTTAACTCCCTACAACGGAGGGGAATATGGAGAATATTGAACTTACGTCTATCTTTGATGTCAACCCTAACTTTCATTAAGTCACACCCAGAGAAATATGATTCTGACCAGGAATTTCATCATTTTATTCAGAAATTGTCAGATAATTTTACTTAGAATGAAGATTTAAGAGAACTAAGATTCAGATCTGACATTAAGTGGATGAAACTTGTTACTTTACGATGCTAAATACTTTATGGCAGTAAATCTGTCCCATTTAAACTTAAGATACTTGCCCTTTAAATATCATAATGTAAAGTCACATTACATGTACTAAGAAGGAAAAGGGTCTACAAGTGTGGCTGCAAAAGAAGTGGAATAGCCTACTTACTGAAGCCTCTACAAAGGCATTTTTAGCAAAACGCACATGCTAATGTCTCGTGATTTGTCACTGTCAGAAACACTGCCATGCAAAACAAAGGAAAATCCACTCATGTACGTGACTTTCCTAAGCTGCCTTACATCCAGGAACACGTGGCTGAACCGAAATCAGGTCTCTGCTAGCATCCATACGAAGCAAATACAAGCAGCCTTAAGAATTATGCAGATCTGTGTCATTTCAATATGCAGTTTTCCATAGTTCATTGGTGTTTCATTACCCTTGAAAATCGACTGAATAAATCCTTTTTTGACTACAATACAGTAAGTAGTACTTATTACAAAATAAATCAAGACAAAAAGAAATTTGATGATTGCATCTGAATCAGAGTTGTCATTTTTATACTGATTTTTCTGCTAGGGGCCTATGACTTAGAATTGAATTCGAGACCTATTTCCTAGATTTAATTAGCATTTTTCTCAACTGTTACTCCAGTTTGGATTTTCACTTTGTCCATCAATCTGGCACTGGTAAATACAGTATAGACATATAGACATACTGAGCTGTCAGATGTGCCCGTGTAAATCCTGCATAGTGCCAAAGACATCAGTCTCAAATCTCTCTGCCTGCAACGCATGTCACCTATGCTAAGATAACATTCTGCCCACTGACATCAACTTTCATTTAAGGAGGTAATTTTATTTCCTTTTCCTCAATTTGCAATAAGTGCTACAGCATTGGCCACAGATTTGGGATCACACTCAGTGAGACAAAGTGGCCTGCATTTGAGACAAAAAAGTCAGTTCTTCTGCAGTGTTGGTGAAGGTTTGTGCCATTCTACCATCAAATGTAAGTAGTAAGTAGTAGTAAGTTTTAGCAGTTCTGGAGGGGCCTTTTCCACCAGAGATCTTACTGGGTCTCCACAGCCAGAGTATTAGAAACCTTCTTCTTGAGGTCACTGTCCCAAATCTAAGATTTCTGGACTAGAAAAAATCTTGGAAACAGCAAGATTTAGTGAAATGTGTTCTTCCTACCTCACATTAGAATAAAAAGACAGAACACAGCATAACAGGAAAAGCACTGATGGAGACACCGTTTTCCTTCTCTCCCATTCCTCCATTGCAGAGGTTTAGAACCCAGTCTTAATGGTGACACATAAGGATGACCACAAATACTACAAGTGTTCAGTTCATGCCATAATTTGTTTGACAGGCTCCTGCACATGGCGTGCAAATGTGGTATCAAGAATGCCCCAGAGAACACGTACTCCTTTTCAGTCCATCACTCTTTATCATATGGCTTTTTGAGATGGTAAAATGAATGCGTGAATTGTGCTTAAATCACATACAGAAAATAAACAAATAAGAAACAGAATTCCTGCTTAAACTGAACAGAGGGACTGTAATCAGCCTTGCCTTTTCCCCTTATTTCAAAGTCCACTGTGGGTACTACTTAATTCCCTGGGAGGCAGTTAAATTCCTATTTAGCTAGATTCTCCAAAGTACTGGGGATCCATAGGAAATCCCTAATGATGTGCTCCATTAGGAATGGGCATGCTGGGTGCACATGTGGTAAGAACATCACCCAGAGCTGTACAGAGCATTCACTAGAGACCTTGTGGCTGTTCACTTCTTCTAATCATTACACACATTGTCCTTTAATTGTACTATAACACTGTGCCATCATGTGTTACATATCGAGGCCTCAACCTGTGATGGTCTGCCTATGCATAACTGCAAAAGCTGTGGGTAAAATATTAGCTCTGTTATATAAGTAGGATTACTTCTGGCCTCAGAGAGCCAAGTTTACTTACTGGGAGCAATCACTGGGTCTACTCCTACTGAAGGAAAAAGAAATAGATATACACCTAAAATTTTATTACAGCAAATATTGTTAGAAAGTTGAAAATTAATGGCATTGTATGGCTATGTATTTCTTACTCTTCTAGCTGGCATCAGCTTCTTAAGAGATCTCTTTGGATTATATAAGCTAATATAAAACCTTACTCTTGTTAAAAAGAAAAAAAAGAATAATGAGGCCATCAAACTGCCATCTGTCTTTCCCTTGGGGCAAAAGTTAATTTTGTAGTTTTCTTAATGATGAAGCAACATTATGATCTTTCAGTGCAAAATATTAAAACTCACAGTTAAGAACAGACACATTCCATCCTGATCCATGGAGCTGCTGTCAAGTGTGAAGTGAACAATGCACTGGGAACAAGGCTCATTAATAACCTATTAATTCACTCCCTAAAATAATCATTTCTTTTGCCATTAGCAAAAATTTCTCTTCTCCCTTGACAGTTCAGATAGTTTTTGCAGACGGGATGCCTTTAAAGAAAGAATTGATCTCTGTTTTATAAAAGCTCTATTGCTTTTATATCGCACCCTTTGAACAACAAGCATTAATTATGCTCTTGGGTAGATAGTGGCTTCAGCTAGGTTAATTTTGAAACTTTTTGACATTTTAATGTACAGCCTGGCACATCCAACTACATCTGTGATATTATAAATAAAATTCTCATTGTTTCATAATTAATTTTGGTCTGATGATCCTTATAGTATAATGGCAGTAGCATCACCACCCCAAAATGCTTCCTATCACGAATTCCATAGCTATGGTACTGAAAGTTAAGAATAAAGAACATGCAAAGTGCCTTCAGAGAACAAAAAATAAACACACTGTTCAGTTCAAATATTTCTTTGATCACTCTTGCATTTAAAAATGTCCAGTGTAAACATGCAGCACTAATACAGAAGAATTCTGAGAAGCAAATACTTACCTTGAAACACTGGGATTAGGATTTGTTAGGATTGTTTTGGCAAAATCTCACAGGCTGTTGACATTCAAGTGTCACAGATAAAGAAAGCTAAAACTAGGAACCGCCAATTCTCTTTGCTATAAGAGAAATAACACGCCGCAAATGCTTGCAGAGTAATGAACGGCTGCTATTAAGTGGAGCAATCCCCCTGGCAGCTCGTTATGCTAGGAGGTTAAACAAATGTACTACTCCAATCCAGTTGTTTAACTCACCACTTACAGCGGCACTGATAACACAGTGTACACATGCTTCCTTTTTCCTATTTCCCCACTTCAGAATAGAATCCAAAGGATTTCCCCTTTCTGTTTTTATGAGAAAAAGAATCCAAAGCTTCCTTAACATTTTGTCTGAATAAATTGGAGCTGGCTTAAAGTGGAAGGAGGAAGAGATTGTATGGAGCAAGTAGCATCATGTTTTATTTATTCTTTTTTTCCAGGTCAAAGAAAAAGGTTTCGTTAAATTAACATTCTGGGAAATGTACCTAATTGCATTAAGCATGAACACATCTGTTCTGTAAGCAGCTCGATTCTTTAAGTAAAAAAATACTCTGGTACCTTAGAAATTTGCATGACCACACATTCCAGACTGCTAAAATCATTTATTTCATATCTAATCCCCTTAAAATTGCCAATAATTAGGGGAAAAAAAAAAAAAACAAAAACAAAAAAACAGCAATAAACTCACTCCACACATAAGCTCACATAAAAAGTTCCAGGGTGAGGTATTAAGTTATTACTTTTGATCAGCAAGCAATGACAGCATGTTTAGTGCTATACCAATGACAATAAAACCTGTCCCTTGCTCCCTAGGGCTTCCCACAAATTTTACATTGCTTTTGAAGAAAAAAAATAAATAAATAAAACACAAAAACAAAATACCAATAGTAAAGCCCTTGCCACTAAGATGGAAGAGTTGTCCTTAATAAATAAATTCAGGATAAATGCATTGAAGGCAAAATACCCAAGAATGCCACCTCCACCAGATGGAGATCAACCACTCTTTTTGATAAACCTGAAGCAATGGTGATGTTGGCATGGGGATGCTCAAGAAATCCCCACACATTGAGCCCACAATGATCCAATGTGTCCCACCGCCCATCACATGCCACTGTTGCATACAGTTGGACTAAAACAGAATTATCTTTCAAAATCCTCTCAGGAATGTTCCTTGGATGGTATGGAATTTTTTTAATTATTATTATTTCCCCATTTCATGTCCCAGAATGCTGAGACCAGCAGTACAAAGTGAGCTCAAAAATTATTAGACAAATTCATAAAGAAGGGGTCCATGAACAGCTGCAAGACAATTGTCTGGGTACAACCTGCAGTTCAGAAAGTCTCTAAAGAGCTGGTTTTCAGAAGCAGGTGTGGTGTATCAACAAACAATCAACTTAAACTTGCCTGATTCATGTGCCCTTTCCTAAGCATCTACTATTGCATATGGTTATAACTGAGCAGATAACACTATTCCGTAATAATTTACAACTACTGTGTCTGACATGTTCAGAGATTTGTTTTAAGCAAATGGAGAAACAAGCACAAGGGAAGAAATCTTCGAAAGCTGCTGAGGAACAAAATCAAACCTTAGCTTTACAAATGCTGTCCTGATCCCAGTGTTCCAATGGGCAGAACCATGACAGCCAAAGCCTATTATGTTTTTAGGATGAGCAGGGACAGGACAGGATGTGCCCAGGATCCAATCAACAGCTGGACAAGGTGAGGAATCCTTCCCTCCCAGAAGTAATGTCTCTGCTCTTAAAGAAAGGAAGGGATGCACTTCTAGAGTCTAAGGGGGAAAAAGCTCCAGCTAGTTCTACAATAATGACAGAGTACATTGAAACAGCATCTAAGCCTTAAACTATAAATTTATTTTAGATATACAGTAATAAAAAAAAAGAAATGACATTTCTTTAAGTATTGTGTACAGCCTTTAGATCCCTTGCTCATCACATTAAAATAGCAGTTAGGTATAGATATGGAAAACAAGGACTGTATGCCCCTTATTACTCCTACAAACACAATTAGGCCAAAGATATCTTATTATTCTTGCCTCTGCTCCTGAATAGATCGCTCTCCAACACTAAGATAGCAGTTGCTTTGATATCAGTGTTTCTAACTGACACCGACTAGAAATTCCTGGTTTATACTTATGGAAAGCCAAAATTCAGTCCACTCAATAGTGCAGTGCTTAATTTTTGCCCTGACAGAGGCTGAGCTGTCAAGACGTGAAGACTTTTCTAAAAGTGTCTGAAGCGTTTCATCATTGCTTTTCTACTTTGGTTTATAAATGATCAGCTTTAAATACGAGGGGCAGAAAACAGTATTCATCAGAACAACTCAAATAAGCATCCTTGAACTCAGGAGCACTCAGGGCACACATGAATACAATCCCATATACAGACAATTCAACTAGTCATCAGTCCGAAATTATAAATGCATACAGTAAGCATGTTTCACAGTTAAGACACAAGTGATTAATTACAATAGTAATCAAGCTTTGTGCCTCTCCAAAATAAAGAAAATCACTAGAGTAATGGAAGCTGGTTTTTTGGGGTTTTTTTTGGACAGATCTGAGCAAATACATCACCAAACAGTTAACTCTGAGTTTTGCTACATCCTGGTTCACACAGCTTTCTCCTTAAAGAAAGAAGCTCAGCAGTCAAGGTCCACTAGCAGTGCTTCACACAATGAAGGGTGTCAGAGTTCAGCAGAACTGCAAAGTGACGCCAAGAAGTCCAACACCAAGTATTCTTTAAAAGGCAGAATACAATTTTTCTCCTCCTGTTAGCAAAAGGTTTCTGTAGCCATTTTCTCTACCATATTTTTCAAGTGCTATCTGTGCCATCCAAGAACATAAGAGGTGAAATGTTCTGAACATAGGCCATATAGAAAGTGTACAGACACCCATACAGAATTTTTTTTGTCTGAAGACAAGCATGGAAACAGATGATAATGAATAGATACATCCTCTCGTTCTTTAAAGAACCAGTCTCCCATTTAAACTTAGCTTTGTTTTTGTTGCCAGCAAAAACAGTCAGATGCCTTTAAGCAGCATTCATGACAAATATATTTCAAGAATTTCCTTACTGTGCTGCTACCCTTCATCATTTCTAATCAGCCATTGCCAGAGCTTCGGGATATTATGACTTCACCCCAAACAGCTCATTAGAAAACATAAATACAAGCAAAGATGGGGGTACTGAAGCTCTTAAGCATCCTCACTTCTTGCAGATACACCAGAAAACCAGTAAAAACTTTAGAGATCTGTGTTGTCTGCAAAAGAATACATACATCTCAGTACCACTAAAAAAATTCCCTTATTTTTTTTCTAGGTCTACTCTCTTCTTGCCATCTTCTCAACCTGCATGGCCTTTCTTTCTTCTTTTCTCCTTCTCTTTTACATCAGACTACGTTAGTCTCTTGCACTTGTACTTCAGTTTTCTTCCCTATTTCTCATTTCTCATTTCAGCTGTTAGAACAAGTCTTCCATTGTAGGTCCAGAAGAAAAGGATGGCTTCTTCAACATGCACATATAGAAAGCTCTGAAAGCTAATCCATTAACATTTATTTTCACAAATAACTTTGTGGGTGTGTCTGCATTACAAGAGAAGGTCGTGGTCTTATTTACACCTTAAGTATATCTTTTTTTAGTCATTTCCTATGGCAAAGGCAGCCCATTTGCCAACAATGTACATAGTTTTCCTCAGTCCTGTGCTCTGTCATCAGAGACTGAGTGAGTTCTGTTTCCATATACGAAAGTTCAGAGGCAAAAAACATCATCATCTCAGAACACTGTGATGCCACCCGCCCAATTCAGAAGTGCCCTCACATTTACAGGATAAGTTAGCAGTTGCAGATTTCACTGTGGCTTCCAAATCTGATTTCCATGCTGCTTCCATACCCTCAGTAATCATTACCTTTCTGTTTCTCTACAATTCCCAAAAGGATCATAAACACATTGGGTCAATAAAGCAAGATAGCCTAAGAAAAGTTGTTAGTTTAGCACGGAAAGACAAGTTTTTCCACAATATTATACACACAAATTCCGAGAAAATACACCCATGAAACACTTCTACATGGCACAAGTTTTGCACAGAAATACCAGACAGATTTGAAGTGTACCAAACAGAACATGAAGTGCAGTTTGGAGTATTTTAAACAAACCATGGAGAGGCAAAAGGGAGTTCAGGCACCTCAAGTGCACTGGCGGTGTTCAAAGCCAGCAAGAATCTACTGAGAAAGATTAATTATCTTTTGGTTTTGCTTTTGCCTCTTCTTCAATAGCAAGGGATGCCCAGTAGTGGGTGTAGGGATTAAAGGATGGCTATGTCATATGCTAAAATTTTCTACAGATACAAAAGTTTATGGGCTTTCTGCTTGTACACAAAGAGTGTAACAGAATTGTTGTAACTCTTTCAGACACCACATCTCCACTAACAATTCTTGTTATTTCCACTATTTTTAAGGATGCCTTTCAGGATTTCATCAGAAACTGAGTCCTTTTTCAAATTCAACTGCTGTTAGTATGGTAGGAGAAGGACCTGACAGTTAAATCACTAAAGACAGGAAGTGACAGAATTTACTCTGTGAAGAAGCAGATATTCTACTTATTCACTATCCATGCTGAACAGTCATGCCAGTTATACCTAAACAACACTGGCTTGTTGCTATCTGGGCTACAGCACAGTGTATACACATTTCTGGAGGATGTACACAAGGTTAGGCAATGACTGTCTCTCAAGATCTACAAGTTAATTTGCCAACTTTTGGTGTATTTTAATTTTTTTCACCTTGATTGCAAGTTCCAATACCATCTTATACTCAATATCAAATTATGTTTTCCCATTCACATGTTTATTTTTTAAAGTTCTTTATACCTTTCTCACTGGATGGAAAGTTGATTGTTGCAATGTTGTTTCAGGGGAGCGACTGCTGACACTGATTTCTTCATCCAATGATTGAGACATGGAAGATATTTTGCTTCTGTCGAGAGGAACTACAGGCTTCTGGGCATCAAGTTCAGTGGAATTCTCACAGACCTATAAATCAAGATTAAGAGTTAGTGTTTTCAAAATCTTAGTAAAAACAGTAGCAAACTTGCATCAACACAGCACACACAATACAAAAAAAACTGGAAAGACTAACACAACAAAGACATTCAAACTCTAACTGGAGAGATAAATGAATAAATAGAGAGATATTTCTCTCATATATTCATAGAAAAAGATCAATAAACCTGCTGAAATGCATAGGTATTCCAAAAGCCATGTAAGGTACTAAGGTAAGTCATTCAAGGTGGGAACTCCACAGAGTTTACAGAATGGGAGACCTCAACCACCCTTCCACTGCAATTCTCACTGTTCTGAATAAGTTTCAAAGCCTTCTTATAGTGTCACCTTATCTTCCTTACACAGTTTGCATGCCCACTATCAAGCACTGACCCTTTTTCAAAGGCAGGATCTCTGGGACAGGGATTCAGAAGATGAGTTTTATTCCTTCTTTGCTATAAAAATAATGTCAGTCATTCAATTGTTCTGTCCTTCGTTTACCTACATACAAAGGATGAATGATGATGCTTTTGTCCTCCCACCTGTTGCTTGCCTTGTGTCTTTAGAGAGCCAGATCTTCAGGATCTTGGTTATTTATGCAGCACTTTACAAAAGTTTTGGACAGATCACTGTGAGGCATGAAGCTTCTGCTGATTACTAGCACAGATAAGGCAGCAGAAAGTTCAACCTACATGAAATCTTAAAGGTGTCCCCCATTTCCGAGCTTACATTGACCAGAAACAACAGGAAAGAACTTTTAAAACTTACTTGTGCTTCATCTTCAATTTGCTGCTGAATCGGGGCTGGTTGTCTCACTATGTAATTTATCTGACCAACTATGGTCTGTTGAACATGCTGAGGTGGCTTAGCTTGGTTCAGCTGCAAACTGGACTGCCCTTGGGCCTGGAGAAGAAGCTCCAGATCCTTTTTCATTTCCTCCAGTTCAAACTGGTGGTGCATTATGTCCAGGCTCTGCTGCATGACTTGTTTGTGAGTGTTCTCATACTGACTTGGTGGTGGTGATGCTGGTGACAGCTGCTGCTGCTGCTGCGGTGGTGGCTGCTGCACGTGGTTAGACTTTATCTTCTGAAGATGGCCAAGCTGCACTTGCACAGTTGATGTCTGCAAAGCAGTCTGTGAGCGAAATGGCTGTGGATGGCTTGTGTGAACCTGCTGAGCCTCATGTGATACAACAGCATAGCCCAGAGGCACAGTCTGTTGCAGCTGCTGGGATGGTAAGTGTTTTCCTGTTCTCCCAGATGCACTCTCTGACTCAGACCTTGACTGCTGCTCTCGTTCGGAGTGCGTTGGCTTCAAAGGCTGGGAAACACCCCTTTGCTCTTTGTCACGTTGCTGCATGCTGCACTGCAGGGGAAAGTGCTGCTGATGCAGTTCGGAAGGCTGTCGAAAATGTTGATGGGGGCTTATGTTCTGGTGAGAAGGCTGAGCTTTGTTTGGGTGAGGTACACTGAGGCAGTGTGAGCAACACACAGGAATCGGACACTGAGCAGCAGGGGGAAACTGATGTGGCTGGTTATTCACAGGCTCCAGCTGTGACACTGGGGAACAGTGCCCATGATACAAGGGTGTCTGTAATCCTTGTACATTGCCATACAGGAGGACATCTGAATGTGAAGTGTGTCCACCTTCCGTAGTGAAACCTCCTGCAAAAATAATAATAATAACAGCAAACTTACTCTGCCAAGATCTTGACAAATTTACAGAACGAAAACTCTAAATGACAGTCATTCCTTTATCTTTGGTTCATACATAAATGGGCTCATACCCTACCTTCAATATACCTTCAAGATGAATTTTTTCAGGACTTTGCAGTGATTTAAAATCACACTAAACTCCTACAGATGTCCATGGTACTCACGGTTGAAATACCAGCAAATGCTTTGAAAAACTACCCCCCACTCACATTATTTTAACTGATGTATATGGCTTATACTTCTACTCTTCACTAAACTACAAGCACATTTTCCCATCCATAAGTGCAGGTAGAAATGACTGCTTTCAGGGTTAAAGTGAGAAAAATAAAATAGATTGATGTTATGTAAGAAAGAATCATAAAAGCTAGAAATAGAAATGACCTATAAACTGATCTGTTCCTTGTTTTTAGCCGAGAGAAAATTATTCTCTGCAACTCTTTTGCAACTGTTTTACCTCTTCTAGTTTTAATTGTCTCAGAACAGGACGAGAAGAACCCTTTATGCCATTGATCTGCCCACCAAACTGAATTTACTGTAAAAACCCATAGCACCTGGAAAATGTATAACTGGTGGGAAACAAGCTGAAAGTATGCACATTCATTACATAAATAATACTGTCAATATTACATAGTCAGTGTCTTAAAGCCGTCTTTGCGCCCATTGATTGTAAGCATCTTAAGCACTTTTCAGATCCCATGGCCACGAAGATACTAACAGATCTGAAGAGTGTGAGCATAGCTACCCCTGGGTAAGCGAGAGAAAATAGCATCAGTGTCACAATAAGTACTCCATTTCAACCAAGGATCCATATGGGACTGGCAGGGTCACAGTGTTGTAGTTACATAGCTATTGCTTGCTGGGACAAAATTGCATTTCACATGCACCAGGCAAAAGCTAAGACTGTTTGGCAGCCAATTATGCTGCATGTTACGTAATACTACTTAAAAAATTATCCATTCTCACAGCCATTTGATTAAATTTGTAGTTGTGTTCTTACACTGTGATTTTCTAAGACACAAAAATGACATTTATAGAGTACATTCATAGGCAATGTTTATAGAGTAATACTTATAAATAATAATGCCTTCTAATAGAGGAAAAGCGTGAAAGTTTTTAGTCACGACAGCATTTCTTCAGGACTGTGACAGGTAGAACCTAAACCATGATTCAAAAAAAAAAATATGAATACTCCTTTTGGGAAAGTATATGTACGTCTTGTCTGTCCTTGGGCACTTGCCTAATAAAGAACACTATGTTGTTCTTACCAAAATTGGACAGTTGCTTACTCCAGTAGGAGGGATCCCAAGTGAATCTGATCTTCAGAGGAGAGGCTATGTCTGTGTTAGAGTTTGTCTCTAACAAGCGCTGGATCTGAAACACAATCTGGTGACAAATCAAAGGATTATGATTTTATTAACAATTAAAAGATCATGAAAAGTGTTTTATTGGAGAAACATTAAATCCTTAAAACATTTCTCACGCGTGCTGCATAATTTCACTTTATTGAGAAAATAAGCATTGCTCTTACCAGTTCTTTACTGAAGAGAAACGGGATGCTGTTTTTACTGCTCACTGCCCAGTTGACAAAGTTCTGCACGTGTTCAACCTGTGTACTTAAAACTGCAACACCTTGCAGTTGTTGCTCCAATTTCTGCTTCCTTTCGTTTGTGATTTTCTGTTAATAATGTGGAACAGTAGGAGATAGTTGTCATCCCTCGAGCAAACATAATGCACACAATCACTGGAGTTACAGCATGCACGTATGCTCTTATTTAGAATCTCTCAATCATCAATCATAGAGATAAAGCTAATCCTATTTAACAAAAGTGTCCAAACTCAGGAAGAAAAATGGCTTCTTCAGGAGCAAATTACAGCATTCTGGCCTTGGCTTAGCAGAAAAACATAGCACAAGAGAAGAGTAGAAGTCAGACTGAATTTGCCAATGGAGCTTTTCCTCATCTCTTACAACACGTAAGAGAGAATACCTAAGAAAGAATGCAACAGAGGTGAATCACGTAGTGATTCCTCAGAAAGTTCTTCCAGTTTCCAGCAACTCATGATTCAGGAACCACAAAGAAGCAGCTGTGTTACCACCCTCAGGGTACCTCTATCATATGCTTCAACTGCAAATGTAAAAACTGAAGAGTCAAAACCATAGGATCTTTTACAGAAAGCAGACCCGAGGATCCTTTTCTAAACATGCTAAGTGTAATGCTAGACAAATGAAGCATTAACATCAAAAGACGTTTTTTAAGTATTCAAACTGTGCACATATTTCTCTATAACAGCATTATAAAAGGTGGTTAACATGATAAGCAAACATTTTGCTACTTAATCATAAATCCTTGTCAACCATTGATTCCACGTAAAATTCAGCAATAAAAAAAAGTATTTGAAAACATAAGCAAAGGGACAATAACATTCACAGTCTATATTCTTTTCATTGGCTCTGGGATTTAATTTTAATTTAGTTTAATTTCCCAAGGTAGGAAAGAAACTAGACTCACTTACTTCAAGTTGTTCGAGAAGGATGTTTGTTCGTTTATTGATTTCATTTATCAAAACCATCTTGGCCATTTTGATTTGATTTTCTACTTTTTTGTGTAAATGTTTTACCTCAAGCAACCTGCAGGGAAGAGATACATATCCCTGGATGAGCCAACTGGTATATCATTTATTCAGTGCTTGGTAGGTATTTGTTACAAGAACTGATCTAAATGTTGACTAAGAAATCCAATGAAAGCTGAACCATTTCCTCTAAGTTCTGCCATTCTTCTCTTCCCATTTTATAGTAACCTTGACTGGAAACACAGTTTGTTCTGAGATTTCTGAAGAACTCAGTTATTTTTGAATCCCTGGAGGCATTCAAGCCCAGGCTGGATGTGGCTCTGGGCAGCCTGTTCTAGTGGTTGATGACTCTGCACACGGCAGGGGATTTGAAGCATAAGGATCATTATAGTCCTTTTCAACCCAGGCCATTCTACAATTGTATGATTTTTAAAATAATTCTTATTTCTATTATTTCAAATTCTAGGTCAGAAACAGTAGAGTATACAAAGAAGTCTTTGAAACTAGCTGTCAGGTGCCTCATAAGGACTATGGAATCCTGTATTACAATGTTGTGAACGTGACATAATTTAAACATAAATTTGATAGTTTTAATCTTCATTTTACCTATTCTCAAAGAAAAGGAATAGTATCTGTGTTTTATTATGGTAACCTGTGTTCAGTGAAAATAGTATTTTAACTCATAACTCATCTTCTGAAATAAATGCAAAACAACTACCTGTCTTCAATCTGTTTAGTTGAAACCTGAATTCCACTTTTTTTCTCTTCCACTTTAGCTACAACATTTTCCAGGATAGCTCTCTGATTTTGCAAAGCTTCGTCAAGAAGTCTGAACCTGCAAAGGAAGGGGAAATCTTTACTGTATGTTCATTTCCATTGATAATGTCTTGCTTTTTCTTTTATAAGCTTAAATAAAGCCTTGTTTACATTTCCTGCTATTATAATAGGTTAGAGGGATTTGTTGTCACCACAGCAGCATTATGCCATTAAGTACAACTGCCCATTGCTAGTCTTCATCTGCTGCTCTGACTTTCCATCGGGTAGAGCTTGCTTCTCCCTGCAGCCACAGACTTCTCTAAGAAACCTGGGCCAGATGCACAGCTCACAAGGATCAGTTTTGCTTTATCTTTAAAATCTGAATCCCACAGTGAAAGGAAAGGAAGCAGTTCCAGCTGCTCCCTAAAAAAAAAAAAAATTAAAATAAAATACAATCTAGTTCTGGATTTTTTTACTGAACACAGCTCACACGTGGCCTAAACATTGGTTTTTGCTCTTCTTTCCCTGGGAGAATAACTGCAAAGACACAGAGGTATTTAAAAGAAAGAGGTCATTCTAGATATCTGGTGGATGGCCAGAAGGTCTTGGTTTCAATATCTTAAAATACGTTCTTAACAACATTCCTTACCAGCCAAAAAATTAATTATTTACACTGCTGATTAAGGAGTTTATCATGTGTGATTTGATTAGTGGGGACCTACTTGAACTTCCAAACCTGTACGCTGAACACTCAGATATGGTCATTCTTTATTTTTCTGCCCACTACCCGGTGTCTTTGCCTATAGTACATGTATGAGGGAATTTGATTCTGCAACCCAGACAATCCATTTTAACTGTCACAGGCACTGTTCTTCTCACATTTCTCCTGCCTTTTTCCAAACATAATTCCTAGGGATCCATTTTAGCCTTTTGTATTTGAAAGCAGAAGTTGTATGCCTGAAGCAGAAAAAAAATAGGTATGTTCAAGTCAATTGCTCTCAGATGGACAGTTTGGGAGAGCAGCTGCCTTCATGTCTGTCTGGACATAACCCTCTGCTTCTTTCCTACCACAAATGCTGTGACAGCTATCCCAAACTTAACACCCTACATAAAGGCAGCGCATCTCACAAAAAGTCATGCTGCCACTGTGTATAGATAATTCCTTACATGATTCATACACCTCAGAACTGAATAACAGATTTGGACCATGCTAAGGATGGAGCTGAACTCTCATCTAGAGTCTCACGTTTGTTGGTCATGGGTTGGCAGTTGGACTTGATCTTAGAGGTCTTTTCCAACCTTAATGATTCTATGGTTCTATGATGGTACTTAAAGATACTCCTGTATACTGTGTCTGAAAGATCAAATAATTTGGAAGGAACTGCTGAGAACAGTGTAGAGTTCTGTAAGGGCTTTAACCAACATATTAAGCTCCCTGAGCAAAAGACAATGGAACTGAGTTTGTTGTGGCTATGAAGCTACACTGTGCTGAAATTTCAGTTGATAGGAAATGCAGATGGAACAGTCCTAAATCTGAATCAGATACGCTTTTAGGTAGGATCATGCGAAAGACATGAGGCGGCCAATGTCTGGTACCTGTGCTCCTTATGGTCTTTCAGCAGGCAGCTGCTGCATGTAAGGATATCACAGGTCTCACAGAAGAGCTTGAGTGGTTCTTGAGTGTGCACTGGACAAAGCAAGGGCAATTCATTTGCCTCTTCTTCAGTCACTGAGGAACATAAAGCAACAGTGTCATTGACCAGAAGTGCTATTGTAGGTCAGCAAAAGTGTTTCAAACTAATAATTTATAAATTTTGATGTTACTTCTAAAGACTCAGATCTTGGAACAATTTGATTATGTGAAGCATGGGAATTTGGTTTGAGGTTTTTGTTTGTGTGCATGCATGTGCTTTGTTTTGTTGTTTTTTTTTTTTTTTCCTCCTAGCACATCCTACAAATTGATCACATCAAAGAGACTCTGGAATTAATAATCAGACCTCTAAACTCTCATGATATTTAAATCCCTCTAGCAATTTTGGGTACCTGTTTCATGATTTTGAATGTGCTGATCTTGCAAACCAATTAACAAAACCACACTGTAAAACACAGAAAAGCAAATACATTAAAGAAACTTGAAGTCACAATGCAAGCAAGAAAATCTTCTGTTTTTAAAAAGCTGCATGGAATTGTTTTTCACAAACTTAAGTTCATTTTGAACACAACTTCAGCAACTAAAAGATATTGGTATTAAGCACTAATATCTGTTCTTATAATGATTTTCTAAAGATTAATGTGATGAAGACTACAAATGGACAGTGAACATGTAAAGTGGGCACACTCCACTCTGGATATGGTAGAATTATTTTAGGAGGAAGGAAGGAACACAGTCCACAATAGAATGCTCAGAAACTCTAAAAAATGGCAAAGAAAAATCCCTTGCATTACATTCACAAACACAGCCACATTGATTTTATTTTAATTATTTTTAGCAGATAAGCAAGCAGGTGGATGCTCTTCCACCCATACGGGGTTTATATATTTTATATTTATACATATGAGGAAAAATAAGAAGTCCATAATATTTATCTAAAATTGAGTACAAGTTGGATAAAACCTTTCTAAGTGTTGAGCACATGTAGAGTATGCAAGCTCACAATACCAAGTTATTTCTATTAAACTCCAGCTTATAACAAGATGCTGTCTTAAGGATCGAAGTATAATGAAGCTTAATAACCATTTCATGTAATGATTTCTCTTTCTTCTTTTCTTTCTTTCAGGCAAGTTTTTTACTCTCTGGATAACAGTAATCATCCTAGAGGAATTAGTGTTTTTTTCAGTTCTGTGTCAGATTTAAGAGATGAGCAGATCTCAAATGCAAACTGAGGATAAAAAAATCAATATAATCTAATTACAGCACAGACCCAGAGCCTCTGCCACTAGCAAGTCCCTGATTCAAATGATACACCAGTGGGAACTACCACTGAGTCATGGTATTCTCAACCTATGCTATACTAAGATCAGACCTACATCCCTTTAGTTTTAAAATGAGTTGAACTCTAAGAAATCTGACATGAAACAAAGGCACAAGCCTGCTTGTGCTTTTCCTAGAAACAAACATCTTGATCAGAACTCAAGTTAGAATTGAAGATTAAAAAGATGAGAAAACATTCTAGTTTGTGTTTTCATCTTTGTATTTATGCAACACGCACAAAACCACAACTAAGCCACAGGTAGATTTTCTTACTATCATTTATCAACAACACGAGCTCGTAAGCTTACTCAACATGAATTGAAATTATAAACAGTCGGAGCCTCAAAACTACTTTTCTGATCTTGCCATCAACTCAAGAAGAAAAATGTATTGTCCATCCAATCAGGGTATTTGAGGGGGTGCTAGAGATCTTCATTTTACATTATTCTCTAGAAAAGACCTAGACAATATTTAAATGTCATCTGTGCTTGTCCCTGGAAGTGTTCAAGAGAAGTTTAGACCACGTACTAAAGGACATGCTTTAGTGGGGAAATGGTGGTAGATGGTTGGACTGGATGATCTTGGAGGTCTTTTCCAACCTTGGTGGTTCTATGACAATTATCATTATTACACTTTCTGTTCACATTCTATTTGTCAATGGCACATCATGTGCTAAGTGAAGTGCCTCAAACTGTATTTTGCATGAACAGCCAGGAATTAAAAGAACTCAACCTATGGCAATAATAAAGTACAGGCTTCTTAAAGCAAAATTCAGAAGTCACATTATAATTTGTGTAAGCAGTGAGCTACTACTATGTATTTTCCTTGTTCTGCTTCCTTATAAAGAAGGTGATAGGGCAGCAAAAACAACTTCAGATGAAAGCAAAGTGTAAACTTGAATTCTATAGAATTACAACACTCTTATTTTAGGTTACAAATCGCTTTTGTAAGTTTAGGTTAGTATATGCCTCAATACTGACTCGAAGTAAAGAAAATAATGATCAGCAACAAGAGATGACCATTCTCTGTGGATCACTACTGTACAGGGATGAGACACCTGCAGTGGGTTTCATTTGTAATTGCTGATAGTAAAACTCAGAAACCATGCTTTTCACTTACGAAAGGAACACACTACAGCAATCACAGCCTTTTGCTGTCTGGCACTCTCCTTCCCACACCTTGTCCATCAACATGACAATTGCTTTATGGCAGTTTCCCTAAAGAAATCACCCAAGTGGAGACAAAAATACTGCAGAGTCGAGACCAGATGGCCTGGTAGCCCACCAAACCCTAGCTTAGCACTCCACAGACTGAAAAATACATGGAACAGGCTGTTTCCATGAAGCACAAATACCAAAATCTTATAAATAACATGGAACGCCGATTGTGGCAAGTTCAGACACAGCTACAGAAAATCCAAATAATCTCTCATTGACTGCATTAGTCTCGCTCATGCAGAGCACAATATCTCTGGCACACAGCCTGCAGCTGTTCCATTTTCTAGTCAATAACTGATATGAGATGAATTATAAATATTCAAGTGTATTTTCAGTACCTGTGCAGCCCTTCAGGGATACAGACAGGAAGTGGTCCCCGGTTTCCTTGCCATGCCTGTGTTCCTCTGTACATGTGCTGCACAGCCACTTATTGCAGCTTGTACAGAGACTATGAGCAGGTCTCTTCTCTTTACACATGTAGCAGCTCTAAGAACAAAAAGTGCGATTACATACAAAGATAACAAATCAGCCTTTAGAAAAAGACTTAGCTACATTGGCAAGCTTCCTATTTTGCTTTCTTAGATTAGTGCGACTTGAGTGATTTTAGGAATTCGGTTATTGTTGTAAAAGGGAATGGAATAAAATTAAGATCCAAAACTCTTAAATCACATTGGTTGTCTTTCTGTGCTCCAGTACAATAAGATGTGATTATAACAAAGTGCAGGAACGATTCAGCAAAAACCCTAGGGTCTGCGTTACACACAGGGTCAGAATAAATCACCACAATGACTTGTTTCTTGTGAACCAGAAGAGCCACAAGACTATAAAATAAGACTTGTATGATTTCAGTTTAAGGAGGGCTATGGGAAGTTACTTTTGAAAATGATTGATGGGATTTGTAATCCCTTTCTCTTACTGTTTTTAGCCTGATGGCTGTAAAACATCAATAGCACACAAACCTGACACACACATATGAATATGTGTAAGTATATAGAGACAGAAAGATGTTTCTTTATTTTCATTGATATGAAATTACATATATAAATTGGAACTATTTCAGTAGTGCTACTCTAAATCTACATTGCTTCACTTAAAATTAGTTTATCTGTTGTAACATTGTATGAACCACTGACGTGATACAGTGCAGTTGTAGAACAGGCCAACGATAATGCAATTTAGAAAACAATACAGAAATACCCACATATTCTTAACATAAAACTTATTTCCTACTCTCTTCAGAGTTGACCAAACCCAAGATCAATTTACATATTGATATCAACTGTGATGAAATGAAAATGTAAGACAGACATGGGAACATCAGCTGAACCAAAACTTGTAACTAACGATCATCTCTAGTGATGCAACAGTATAGGAAACGCCTTTTGTTATATAGGCCATGTTGTCTGGAACTCTCCCTAAGGGTGAAATGAATAAAGCAGCATGTAATTGAAGTGGGTGATTTGATTCCTTTGTCATCCAGAATGAACTCAGGAGTTATTTCAAGAGTGTAATGACTTTTCACTTAAAAAGGATTTGCACAAGGCATAAAATGAAAAGTCTTAATGTTAATGTACTAATGGGCAGAGTGAAGACAGTGATGTAATTTTACCATCAAAGCATAAAAGCTTTGCCACTAGTTTGTCATCAGATGCAACACGATGTATGCAGTTACAAAATACCTCCTGTAGTTACACATAGCTCCTGAATATTACTGCTACTGTCACAGCTTCTAAAGCAGCGAATAGATGCCAAAGGGATTCTTACGGCATCCATTCTGTTGCCCATCAGCTTACCTTCAATATGGTTTGTTACAATTGGACTCCAGCTACTCTGATGGGAAACACAGACATATATAGCAGCATGCATTCAGCATGTAGGCCCTGATGAAGTAAAATTATATATATATTCTCTTTGCTGTGTATCAGAGGATGACCTTAGAAATCCTAAGGGAAGAACAATTACAGCTCTTTCTGTGTTGGTCTTCTGGGTGTTAAACCACAGTATCAACATTAAGTGGAACACCATATTCACCTCAGTCTGAGACTCAAGATTGGCTTAAAGGATTTATTTCACCAGAGGAACAAAAACATAGTTGTTATTATTCATTTGAACTTCATCATTCTCTTCAGTGGGGCTGTGCAGGCAGCTCCCAGAGTTAAGGTCATTTGATGACGTAGAAATGGTATTTTCAGCAAGAGACTTTGAACTGCATACTTTTGACATTTCTGCAGCTGGTAGGTAGCACATTCTATCATTTTTGAATGATAGAACTCACTGAAAAACCTCTTGCACCCAAACACTCTCTTATGGGCTTTGGCAGATTTCCATTTGAACATCAGGTAAGTTAAGAAAATGATGGCTGTGCTTCAGTTGGATGAGCTGGTGCTTCTCCCCCTGATACCATAGGTAGTAAGAATGTGGCTCTAGTTTTAAGAGGAGGGTGTTTAAAGGACAGTAAGCAGGGCTTTCTGTCATATGAATGTCAATAAAAAGGAAGAAAGCGAAAAACTATTAGGAATGTTCCCAAGTCCCTCTGGGATATTCCTGTGCTCCAGTGAGAATTCTGCTTTCCTGAACTGCTCGTAGGACTCCTAAGGGGTTACAGAACAGAAAGGAAAAAAAAAGAAAAAGAAAAAAGAAAAGCACATTCTTTTAACAAAAGTCTAAAAAACCAATCTAGATAATAGATTTTCTCATTTGATTTCCTTTCTATACCAACTCTCATTGAAAGGTAAATGAAGTGAGTCATAGTAATTAAGAAATCCCATTACAATAAGGTCATTCTACATATTCAACAGTATCCTCTGAATTTAGCTCTTTTCAGAGAATATGTGAATGTATCATTCTCTTTTAAAGTTACATGGCACTCTTCAAGCAACTTAGAACTGTAGACCACTCACTTTGCTCACCTTGATTTCTGAATTCCCCTAGAGCACTACATGGATGAGATTACACGTTCTCTCCATTTTAAAAATGGAGAAAATGAAACATGGAAATGATTGATAGGGAAGATGTACAGCCCATCAGTACTTGCTTGCAACTATATCAGTGGATCAATCACGTAACTTCAAGAGGTCTGAAGCCTTCTGCATGGGGCAGAATTGACAAATTGTTGCTGCACCCACTGGAGTTTAGAGGAGTGGAAATATAGATCTTCCACCATATATTATGGAAAAAGTATTCCAATTATGTTTTACATCCATTCCCCCCAAAAACATTGAAATACAATGTGACTTCTTTTATCATTAAAATAATCAGAAAATTATAATCTTCCACAGGTTCTAATGGGTAATCTTAGTGTAACCATTCATCCAATAGTTTTGTTCCTGTTTGCTTTGTGTTGAGAGCTGAAAGGGGATAATGAGGCACCCAAGAAATCCATCATCATCCAGACAATACATAATATATACACAGTAATTATATGTGTAAGCAATAATTATAATAATAATATACACAATAAAAATAAATTGTCACAGATTCAGTCTACATCACTAGCATCAGTATATTTTTTTTTATTACAGTCAAGGTCAATCTTCAAATAAGGTTACAAGAGTACTATGAAGGCAGGAAGTTCATCCCTAGCAGTGATGTACTTACAGTCTGCAGAAGCAAAACATAAGATTCTGTTGTTCAAAATGATCTGCTCTGTTTGTCAAACAGTGTCAGTGCTTTAACAACTCCCAAGGCACCCTACAGTGTGGTTTTCACTCACCTTTGCCATAGCTGAATTTGCAGTGGGAAAATCCTTGAGAAAGCAATTTTCAACTACATCTCTTGCAAAACAGGTCTGTTTGCACGCCGGGCAGGAAAGAATACCTACATTAAAAAAAAACAGAAAAAGAAAAAGAAAACACAAACACAAATATAACAGTGCACACCAGCAATGTGAACCAGGAAATAACAGAAACCACACTTAGGTATTGCTGGCTTTTTTTTTTTTTTTTTAATTTAAATCACACTAACACTTATCTGCAGGAAACTATGGTATTCTTCAAGCCCTAAGATACCTGTGGTTAGATGCAGTTAATTGCATATGGAAGAAAAAAAAATAAATCCCTAGAAGTATACATCACAGTTCAGGTGATTTCTTGATTTATCTCAGTATTTATTAAGGATATCCACGAGTGCAAATTGCCATGAATTTATCATGGCTTACAACTTTGATAAAAACTGAGCTACATTTTAAGCTGCACACTGTTGTGACAGACATACCTGTGCTTTCTACTAGCTACCATTCTTCTAAAACAGCTTTGCATTACCAGAGGTACACCAGAGCATAAAACACATACTGCTTCCTACCACTTTTACAGTATGCCACGCTATTCAGCTGAAGCCACAGAGAAGTAACAAGCTGTTAGCAGAAGCAAAGAAAATCAGAATGAAGGTTAAAAAGTTTCAACTTCAAAAACCAAAATTACAGGACATCTACTACAACAAATCCACAAGTGACAAAAGGACAGTGGGCCATGTTCTGCTGACATTCCTGAAGCAGTGAAAGCAATGCAAGCAACATGAGCAGCAAAACCTAGCTCCACCTCCATAAGCTAATACACAGCTGGTATAAACCTTTGTGTTAGCTTGGCTGGGAACTAACACTGCAGCTTAAGAAGTTGTCCTTAGAGAGATGCAAAAATGCAGTCATGCAGTTACTTCAACCCTGGGCTTCTGGGACTAGCATTCATATTTTGCTAGATGGTCCAGTGCTTTTTTGAAAAGGGAAGTGCATGTTTCGATCACATTTCAGCAAACTACCTTTAGAAGTTGTGGTGTCAGTCTATTTTTACCTTGACTTTTTTTCAAATCTAACTCTTTCCATTCCATTGAGAAATTTCCAAAATATCAAAGCTGCTTTTACCTCATCGAGTGATCACTGACAATAACAAACAGCAACATTTTCCATGGCTAAACGATGCAAGCTCATTAAGGCAGGTTCTTAAAAGAAAGATCAATTACAACTTTCTACTAGACTGGCGTCGTTCAATGTTCTCTTTCCTTCACTAAAATTATTTTTAAATAAGGAGAGTGGCTTGTAGACTAATTCAATCTGAAGTTGTCTATTACTCTTCATATGAGATGGTCACCATAGACACTGATGTTCTCCAGGTATCTAGTGCTACCTGCCCTCGTGGTACAGCTCCTTGATTCCTGACCACAAGTACAGTTCAAATCCTGCCTGCCCCTCATTTTAGACTTGGGCTACTGCTGTTTTAACAACAGGGCAACACGTTGTCAGAGACACACAAACCACAAACCCTTTCTACATTACCACTTCTGACAGAATCAGTCTTTAGTCAGATACCTGACTACATTCATTTTCTTTCATATTCCTTTGAAAAAACATTGAGTTCCATTACATGTCCTATGAAGCAGGACTTCTTACAAAGAATTGCTGCCACAAGTTTTAGACCTTTTTAGCCTCATTATTCTAAGAAAAGCAAAAGTATATTGTCTGCTATTTTCCAAGGTTGCATTTACAATCAAACTATGATTTGGAGGCTCAGGTAGCAGACTACTGCCTGCCTCACCCTTGTTTCACCATGCATTTTGTACAACGGTGCACATGAGCCCCCAGGTGGCCATGCTACCCAGCTACCAGGCACCCCAAGGGAAAAGGTAACACAAGCAATTGCCAACACTGTACTCATCCCCTGGGTACAGAATCAGCACCTCATCTAAGAGTGCTCTAGTGACAGAGCTACGAAGAGGCTAGAAACCCATTTGATAAAGATGCTCACAATTGCAGAAAGCTGTAGAAGTCTTTCAACCTTTTCCTCTCCTTTGCATCCTTAATAATAATGAGCACAGTTAAAAGGTTATCTTATTTATCCACAATCTTTGTAGCTAATCACCTTCATACGTTACATCCTAAGACAACAGCTTTTGTATTGTCACAGAATAACCATCTCACGCTTTCCCAAATTATGATTGTGTGTCTTTTAGACATTCCATTAAAAGCTCAGTCCTCCGGAGAAATATAACAGCAGGAGCACTGCAGCAGTTAAGATAAGATGCATTATCCAAACAGTGCCCCCAGCTCCTTGCAAATGGTGTGCACTGCGAGTGTCAGGGAATTGCAGCACTAATTCCTAGAAGGTGAAACTGGGCAAGCTTCCACATGAACTCTTACAAAGCAAGACAGTCACAGAAATAAAGGGGCAAATACATTTTGATTGATAAGCTGGGAAGCAAAATAGCTACTTTGCAAGCAGCGTCCCAAATAAGTCTCTTGGGACATGCTCTAATTCTTGGTGCAGCTGATAGGAAACCATCTAGTGACTTCACAGGGAATTGCCTCTAGCCCTTTGAGATCACAAACCAGTTTCTTACATCAGTAACAGAAATTGCCCAAACGGTGCCAGCTCTTGATCTGGCTAACACAGAGCTCCATACTGAGCTACATAATGTGCCACAAACTGACCTAAGAGAAAATTCTCAGCAGGTTACTTTCTTAAGGAAAGAGTGCATGGCCATCAGAGCTTCCTTCACTGACACACCACACAGGTGAGCACACAATCTTAAACAAAGCATTTCTGGGAGCAACAGCTTACAGGAAAACAAAGGTAGCACTCAGGACTTTGCTACAGCAAGGACAACTTCTGTCAATTCTCCATGAGGTTAAAAAAAAAGTTAATATTGAAGTTACATATTTTATTATACTTCAACATACTACCCAGTTAGTACAGAATGTTAAACCAAATCATACCAATTGAAAGATATTTAATGTGAAGCTCGTGGCCTCAGGCTAGTTCACATGAACTTTAAATTGTGCTAATCTGTTTCAAACCGGCAAAGTATAAAATACAGTGTGTAAAGAACATTATCAATTTAAGAACAGGCAATATTGCGTTTTTAATGTTCTTTAAAGAAAGCTTCAATACTTCCCACCTGAACAAAACATATTTTTTGTGTGTCTTTTAGTTCTGCACAAATGCCTTCTTATGCATACTAAGAAACACAATTGTGTTAAGGAGTTTAAAACCACAGAGATTTCAGGGGTACATGACACTAATGCTGTTTAATAGCTGAGGATATCTAAAAGCAATGCCCAGCATACCATGTTACAATTTATCTCCATATTTTAAATTTTAGTTATGCTACTTGCACAGATCAAGCCCCACACAAACAGGTCAAACACTGTGTCAGAATCATCACTGCAGACCATCAAATGGTTGCTTTGATTGAATGCCTCAAATAGCCAAATAACTGAACTACAATGATCTCCAACCTAAGACAGAATGAACACTATAAGTTAACAGATGAAATAATGGGGACACCATGGCAGTACTGGAAGTAGTTTCCTACTCATACAAGAACAAGCCAGCCTTTTCGTATCTCCTAATACTGGGTTTTATGCTTCAGACTCCACCAGAAGCATAGAGGAAGGACTCCCTGAATGTGGAAGCATTGAAGATCACAATGGTTTATCTGATTTTACTTCTCATTTCATGCCTTTTTCATTTAACAGAAGCATGTGCTCCCTGGAAATTCCCAATATTTTTCAATATAAATTCTCAAGGAGTCTAATAAAATTTTGGCATCATAAATGCACTACAGAATGATTTCTGAAGCAATTGTTCAGAAATTAAGCAAATCTTACATAGATGTTAACCAAGAGCCCCAAGCAGCAGCTACTTCAACAGTACAAAGTGAGCACACCTTGCTGTGCTTATGCTTGCAGTACAAATCATCATTAAAGTATGACTTCCCAGAAACTCCTTACCTGTCCTCAGGATAGCCAGTCACTTCGTTACACACCAAGTCATTCGTGTCAGGAGCAGGGGGTTATTAAGCACAACTGCACACACAGTGTGCTCCCTGGAATAAGCCTTTGCTATAATGCAGGTGGAAGCAGATGCACCTTTGGCAGAGTATCTGGGGGTGCTCTCCCCTCCTCAGCAAGAAATGCTAATGAATCAGAAGGTCAGAGAGATGTACTGGTCCACCGCAAAGCGAATGGGATTTTTCTCTGGCCTTCCTGAGATTCATTCAGCTCTGCATTAAGTTGCCTTGGCTGCATTTTTCCTGAACAAGTGAAATAAAAACCCCACAGATGGAATGAATATCATCCTCCTCCTTCTCTTGCCTGGGTCTTCTCCTAATCCTCACAAAAACCTGGAGCCAGTGTGCAGGAGGAAAGAGTAGAGCTTTTCCAGATTCAGGTAGCTGTAGGTCTCATAACACCACTCACTCCGTGGTACACTTCACAGACCATTCCCTATGTGTTTCTCTTGCCTTACCTCCTGACCGCTGCTTCTAAAAAGCAGTTAGCTTGTTAGAAGAATCTGTACTTTGCAGACAGCTCACTTGCATATGTTACTGTTACACACTGTGGGTGAAGGGAAGAGTAGCCAGGAGCCCTAGAGATTCACTGTTTGTACATACGAGAATGATGCAACTTGTGGATCTAAATAGCAATCCAACATGGAATTACTGCATTCAAACAACAGAGTTTATACATTAAGAGATGAGGAGACAAATTCTGTTATGATGTAATCATGATGCCCAAATGAGGGACATTATTGCTATCAAAATCTCTTGAGGTAGAAAAAAAAAAACTATGAGCTGTTGTCATAAACTTCATAGAGTTTGCATCTGAACTATACTGGTAGAAAGGAGATAGCAACATTTGCATAAGCTGTTTTTTCAGAAGTTCATTACTAACAGCTCTTAATCTTCTGAAATCACTATTTGCGACATCACATTTGGTTGCTAATGATGTGGGTATGCATTTATGAAGGCTAGCAAGGATACTTACGTTGGATTTGTGTGCCATGTTACTGTGACATGCAGGACAAAACCTCACTTCAGAATGATACGCAGGAAAAAACACAGATGAGCTATTCTCAATGTATCTGAGCTATCAGGTAGTACTGAGCAATCGCTGAAGACCACATTGAACAGACTCCCAGGAATCACCATCACCAGAGGAATCTGAACATGTAGCCCTACACCTCTATCTTTCCAATAGTAACTAGACAGTAGGTTGGAGAAAATTCCACAACGGTGGAACCCGTAGGCAGACACAAACACCCAACCTGAATATTTCAATCCCATATCTGGGAGATCCAAAATCAGCTTTCAGGAAAACAACAGCATTCTGCCACCAAAGCCCGCTCAGGCATATACCATTCAAGTCCTAACTCCCTGCAGACCAGGTTGCTCACACCCTAAAACAGTTTCATTTCCGCAAAAGGGAAAAGTATGTGGACAGGACATTAGCAAAAATTTCTTTTCCAAAAGAGGATCAACTGCTGGAACAGACTCCTCAGAGAGATGGTGGAGTCACCATCCCTGGAGGCGTTCAAGAAACATTTAGATGTTGTACTGAGGGACATGTCTTAGTGGGAAATATTGGTGATAGGTGGACAGCTGGACTGAATGATCTTGGAGATCTTTTCCAACCTTGGTGATTGATTCTACGAGTCTATGACAGCAAGGTACTGACCCTTGTACTGAGAGTTCCTCTGTAAAAACACAAAGACCTAAAATTTTGGGGAGCCCTCATGTTTTTAATCCACCTATATGCAATAATCTAATTTGTAAGTGACAGAGCTGAAGAAAATTTGCAGCAATCATTCCTGTAAGTGCAAACTAGTGTCTGCAGCCTGTACACAAATGAAGTAGAAAGACCCTTTCAATACCTAAAGCCTTGGCTCACAGGCTTGTTTCAAGGTCCTCCAGTGTAGTCAGGTTTGAACAGGAAGAGCCCTTAAGCTGGTAGTCTGGGAAATGATCCAGCACAGATAATTCACCTGTTATTGCCCTAAGAATTGATTAGCATAAAGTAACAAACAGTGGAGCTATCACACATACTGGCTGTCTGCATGCTGCACCTATCCCTCCACTCTTTTTCCTCCAGCAATCAGCAGAATAATTATTCTCACAGAGCATTAGCTACAGCTCAAGCTGCAGGTGTAATTTACGCTTCCTTGGAGACCCAATTAAAGGTTATAGGAAACAGTTCTGAGGACAATCTCCTGCTCTACAGCTTCATATTTATGTAACTAGTCCCCCACTGTCTCACTTGCCCTTTGGATCAGGCATCTGAACAACCACGTGAGAAAGGATGAGTAACCTCAAACACATTCTAGGATGACTAAATTAATATATTTTCAAGAGTGCCCTTTTTGGAATAACGTTTTTACTTCCTTTTTTGAAATGAAAGATATACTTAGTGTTAAGTGTATCTAATTAAAGCAAATTGGTGTTCTCCTTCAGAACTAATAGGAGCGATGCATTGCATCACTTGCCTTGTATGATTGCACCAAAACATTGTTATTTGGGGCATCAAGTCAGAAAAACTGTTACACCAAGAAGGCCAAGGTGCTTCACTCCAAGCCTAAAAGTGGGCTACAGAACTCAGCAGAAGTGCATTTTGTCTTACACACAGATATAGTATAAGTCAAGTCACTGCGTTTGTGCCTGGAGTCTGCTCTTATGCCAGCATACCATACACCTTATGCCAAAATATCATTGTGAAAGTCTAGAGCCAAAAGAGTCAGAGCTCAACCTCCTTAAAACAACCCCCTGATGATAACTCTGAAGGAAAAATGCAAGCATGGCCAGTGCTAGGCCAACTGTTGGATGTCCTTCACTGAAAGGCCTTTGCAATGGGGAATCTGCAGTTATACAGAACACCACTCTTATTAGATAAGAAAACCATGTATTTTCAGCCAGCAGTAATAGAGCACAGCAAGCTGGCATGTGTTAACAGCAAAGTCACATTTCTTCTCTTTCATATTCTGTTCTCGCTTATTTTATCTGTTCAGTTTGCATATCTCTAACATGCAACCCCGCCACATTAGTTGGCATTTAAGCAAGGATCTTGGACCCTTGGATGCTCATAGAAAGCTAGTGTCAAACAAGTGCAGACAGTTTTAGACTTCTCTGCAGAACGTTGAAAGAAATTATGCAGCCATTTTCCATGATTTTTGTTATCTGAGCCAGAGAAAGGCCAAAGCATGTTTCTAAAATAGCATTTCAGAAAAAAATAACACAGAAGGTTAGTATAAGAACATTGCTCTCTGGGGCCTAAATTATGATTTAAACAGTGCCTGTGATGATTATTATTATTATTTTTTTTTTTGGAGAGGACAAATAAGCAGCCTTCAAGATGTCTCCAAAAAACATGAACCTTTCACAACACACCTCTACAGTTCCTCTTCCTGTTCCTTCCGGAGTTATGACATTGAAAGTATGAAAATGATTTACATCATCAAATATCTGAAGGAAAGAAAGATTTGCAGACAAAGAGGAATTTATTTTGATGCTAACCCCCAATTCAGACAGATTTGGCTTTGAGTGCTTTCAGAACTCAGTGAGAAGGAGACAGGCCCAGAAGGGCAGCACACAAGAACCAACCATTTGTTTTCACAGTGCACCATGAGTGGCAGAGGATTTCACAAACGTATCCTGGCTGACTCACAGTGGTTGCAGTTTCAATCACTAATTGAAGAGACACAGATGTTTTGGTTTTGCTGCTCTTGTTGCTTATATATGAATGGAGTTTTGCACCTGGTGTCTCACTTCATTTACAGTGGGTCATCATTGTGTGTTATTTCTTTCCTCTACCATTTCTCCAGTCTTTTCCTTTCCCATAGAAATTTCCCAACTACAAGAGAAGGAGGAAGTAAACAGAGAAACTTCAAGAATATAGATGTGGACCATTCTTTCTTCCAATCTCCTGTACACAAATATTTCCCAACCCGCTCTCAGGTGCCCAAATAAACATCTGATATTTTAATGATTCATGAGAACCCCCAGCTGCACTTCATCCAAGATCATCAAGAAGCATAAATTCTTTTCCACTTTGCAAACAAAAACAAGGAGGAGAAAGGAATGACATGGATGTCAAACGAGCACACACAAAAAAAACCAACGTAGTGGTGGTTTTCAACATCACTCAATTACAAAAGAGGCCCCTCATACTTAAAACCTGGTGTGACTGGACATTTAACATTTCAAGGAGGCATTTTCTTGAAATGACTGCTTTGCTGCCTGCTTCTCCTACCTTTATGTCTTTTCCTGTCTGCACCCTCCCACAGCCTTTCTCCTTTGCCATTCAGTTATTCCTTTATCTTCTGTGTTCTGCCAGCTTCTCAGCAGTCATCTTCTAACACTATTTCCACTTGTGCTTGAACCTGAACTTATCTAGTTTATTTTATCACATCAATGCAGATTATCACCACCTTAGGGAAAATATCTTCAATTCCTCCATGTTTCTAAAACCTGCTTTGGAAGAGATAATAAACGATGTGATTTATTCATCTAGAGCTCAAAGCCTGTGGAAATACAAGCAATCTATGTGCCTTTGCTCTCCTTATAAATTAGTAATGAGTTTGGAATGCTTCCCCATGGTAATTAAGCCTCATTCAGTTAAAATGACTGTATTCTGAGATGGAAGTCCCTTTTCATTCCAAAAAAAATTACGTATTTTCTATTAACAGCATCACTAGAAACTGTACAAATGATTTCAGCACTTGAAAAGCTACACAGCCCAAAATGCTTCATGTCCTAGCCAGCTTCAGGCAATTTGTTAGGACAAGTTACAGCATATCCCTCAGTCATAAGTGCTTAGATAGAGTGAAACCACACTTAAAATGAGAACAAAAGGAAAGCGCAAAGAGTTTCAGTGCACCACAATACCCATATTCTAATAACAATTGCTGTGCCCTCCATGAAGAGCAAAGAGCCGGATGTCACTGTTTACTGTGGTGTTTGCAGGGACAGGAAAGGGAGAAGAGGAGGTATATTAACTCTAACCACAACCACAGAGAAGTCCAACATGTCCAAAAGAATAAATATTAACTTAGCCTAGCAACTACTTTCTTGCATTTCACTGTATGTTTTAAGCAAAGCAAATATTCATAAAGTCACACTTGGTAAATGAAACCAAGACCCTTCTGGAAAACATGATTGTTGTCTGTCTGCATCATTTCTATTCAAAGCACTGCTGCTGGATGGAGATTGTGCTAAAGGAAGTTTTCCTCAGTCCATTCCTTGCTCATACACACCTTGAGTCTCCTAGCTTATTCTTTCAAAGTAGCTACATAGAAGTGTTCCTCAAGCCATACATGTTTATAATACTGTATTACAAAGCACCTAAGTCAATCACAGGCTCATAAACATTACCTTCATATACAACTTCATGCACAGTGGAAATGTAGCTGTATCCTTGAATCAGCTCTGGAAGGCAGTCCTTGCAGAAGGAGTGAAGGCATGGCAACATCCTGGGTTCTCTCCTGCACAGATCCCATTTGCACACCAAGCATTTCCTCAGCACATCCAGGGGCTCCATTGCCGTTGGCTGAGGTTTGACATCAAAAACACGGAGAGTCACAAAACGGCTCATGTCAGCCCCTCTGCTTCCCAAAACACTTGATCTCTTAAGCACAAAATAGAAGGCAGCAGTGGGGTGCACGTTCTCAGAAACAACACTTACTCAGTCCCTTGAAGAAAGAGGAAGTTCTTTGCAGCTAAAAAAAAAAATAAAAAATCACATAACCCGCTTTACCAAAAAAAGAAAAAACAAACCAAAAACAAAAACCAAACCAAACCTTTGCAGATTGTTGTGCAGGAAAGCGTGGTTTAAGGTTTACAAACCATGATCCCACTATCTCTCTATAGTACTTGCAGCTTTTGTAAAAAACTGAAGTAATCTGTTCTATTGATCTACTTACAAAGCTGGTATCGGGCTGAACTGTCACATGCTGTACATTTCCTGCTAGAAGCACTGAAACCATGCAATAAAAATAATGATATTCTCTGATTGCTTTTATAATTACACCTCAATATTTCAGAGCTTGCAGGTAAAGCAAATAAAGACAATCATAACTGCTCGTACCTCCATCATTTCAGCAATGCCCATTAGAAAGCTGCCTTGATAAATGCAATGCAACTTCTGTTGAGCTTCTTAGAAATCTAATAAAGTGCACTTTGCAGTGATCAAATTTCACCAGTCAAGACGAACACACATCAGGTTATAGACCAAATTGGAACTTTCTGCAAGCAGGACATTTCCTTTGCCAACCTAAGCTCCTCAAGATGAGTTGAGTACTTTGCAGATCATGTACCATCCTTGATTCTCAAATGTACAGAGATGTCAGATACAGCCTGCAATGAGAAACTTTGGCAAGTTGCATCCAAGAAGGAAAAGCAAACAGTCTCATCTCCTTTGGAAGCACCCCTCTGGCTGACTGAACCCCCTGGTGGGGCCAGAGCCCCACATGACTGCTCACTGCCTTGGCGTGGTGGCCTTGCTGCCAGCAGTACAAACTTGCAGCTGTCTCCAGATCTCCCCATCACAGAAGAGCAGCAGCTCTAATCTTAGGAATAAACATCCCCTTGGGGGGAGTCCGGCTCAAGCAAGGTTCCAATGGAAATGGTTAGCAGAAAGACCTTCTTCTTTAATGAAACAAAATTATAGACGTCTCAGAAGTCCACAAATGGTTTTGTTGTGTTTTTTTAAATCTTTTTTAGAAGTATTGCATCCTGAAATCCTAATTATTCAAACTACTTTAAAAAAGTAGTTTCATACCCAAGACCCACTACTAAGAAAAGGTAGATATCCATCAACTTTACTGAATGCACTTCAACAAATTCAAACCCATCACTAAAACATAGTTGTAGCATCAAAACAACTGGTCTGTTCAGAAATTAATTGTGGTGACTGTACCTGTAGTTTAAGTAATAGATGGTACAAAAGCAATTATTACAGGATAGAATCACAGAACGATTTGAGTTGGGAGGGACCCTTAAAGGCCATCCAGTCCAACTACCCAGCAGTGAGCAGGGACATCTGCAGCTCAATTAGGTGCCCAGAGCCCCTCCAGCCTGACCTTGAATGTCTCCAGATATGGGGCACCCATCACATCTGGCACGTGATGCATCACATCATCTTTCAGAGGCATATGCCATTAGGGCAGCACAGCTTTTTGGCTTGCGCCACCTTCATTTCTTGCAAATACCATTGCTAAGATGACAAACCAGATCCTACAGAAACATGCAACGTCTGCAATAGGAATTTGAGGTCTTAGACTACCACAGTTTAGGCAAAGAAACCACAGCCCAGAGCCAAAGCACAAACGCAGAGAATCACTGCAAACACAAAACCAAATACTGGGGTATGTTGCACCACTATGAAGACCAGACAAGCAGCTGAATGAGTAGAAGCACGTTCCATACTCCTTTAGTTTATGTTTTAGTTTTTCCTAACAGGAGAAATTAAGTACAAGCATTTTGGAAGGATGGGGGACGACGGTGAGAAAAAATTTCCTGCTGAGTCAGGAATGCAAACCAACAGTCAGGCAGCTACATTACCAGTGGCCCACGGGAGACATCATGTCCAGCATCAGAGGCTGCAAATGAAGTATCTGCGTGTGAGGGAGCTAGGGGAAGCAGCTGGCAGCAATCTCACCTGCAAGGCAAAGGGCCTGGCTTTTGGGCCATCAGCCTAAATGAGGGAGAACAAGTTTTTTCCTTGCCACTCAGCACGTAAGGACTCAAATTCCAAACATCTGATGACCTTCCACAGAAGTACAAGATGAGAATTTAGTCACATTCATAAAATCAGGTGGTAAAAGCAGTAAAATTGCAATTTACTCAGGCCTCTTGTATTCCAAACTTTCCCCAGGTATTCTGGACTGTTTGGGAGATACATCTGAGGAATAGGCTCTAGGGTAATCTGGCTGCAAAACCAGCCTAAGCCTCAACAAGGACCAAGCCTGATAGCCATGCACCCTGAGGCACCATGGCCCCAAGCTTGTGCCCAACAGCTGCCCAACCCTGAGGGACAGTGGATTGTGATACCTCCTTAATGCATGGGAAGTCTAGCTATAAGAAAAGCCAGTATACACTGCTACTTTGTGAAGGTACCATAGGAGGTACTTCAAGTGCCAAATGCTGGCACTGTAACCAGGCAGTTTCAAATCACCCTAAGCATCTGCCAAACCACTACACAATACAGCCAGAAATAACTACATGGATAAGACTTAATGTGAACGGCATAGGACAAGACAAAAAAGAAAAAGTCAGAAAATTCTATAAATCAACACATTTTACACATTGGTCTTTATTCAGAAAGTTCGAATAAAACTAAGGCCTTTATGCCACAAGCACACAGGCACCACCAACTTCTTTGATCTTCTCCTCTGCTCTTCTACTGAAGAACTTTGCTTTCACAATTACAGGCTGCTTGGGCAGCTTGCCCTTGCCCAGGACTTTGTAGTAACCCTAGAAAGATTAAAGAAAAACAACAAAAAAGACAACAATTAGTGTTTGCAACCAACTTCCAGGCTCTTCCATTCTGTCTTTTAGCACACATCAATAAAAACCAGAACTATGATCATCACTGCGACCTAAATTCCTCATCTATCTCTTAAGTTGGTAAAATATATCCTGCATGAGGTACTGCAGTTGCGTTTGTTCAGAGAAGTAGAAACTATGAGGTGGTTACACTTTTTCAGTAATCTAGAACATGTGAAGCTGTTACCTTCCCAAAGCCACAGACAGAAAACGATGCCAAGTCCTGCAAAGAAGTTGCCAACTGCTTCCCACTTCTCCAAAGGACAGAGCAGCAGGCTGCACTGCTGCAGCTAACTACTAGCCAGTTACATCTGGCCCACGCTCTTTACATCACCTCTCTGCTGGAATCCCCTCATTTCACCCCTGTCCTCTCCATTAAAAGGACAATTGTGGCACAAGGCTGATTAGTAATACAGCCTTTCAAGTCACTGTTTTTTATAAGTGGCACAACCGGCCAACAAGGAGGCTTCTCAGATGCAGAGCATACCTACTTGATAAGGTAGTTACTGTCACTGATTTGGTGGCTGACTGAGATATGAGGTATCGCAGCCAGTGAATGAGGATCAGAAGTTTATATCTGAGAACGATAGCACACCAGAACAACACAACATGTAAAGATGTGACTCTATTCTCAGTACTAGAAATGGCTTTCTGTAAGTGAGAACAGCACTATGATGTTTTCATATGTGCTTCTGGCAATTAAACAACCTTCTACCACCTTTCAAAAAAAAAGGGAAGTCATTCCTTCATTAACAACATAAACACCAGTTTACCTACTGATATGCTAAGATACACGATTATGTTCCAGGTTTACAAATATTCAGGCACTGCAATTTATTTGCAGTTTACCATTTTAGCCTGAAACACACAGCTAAGTAACACGTTAAATGAGCAGGAACTGAAGTCCTGAATTTGAGCAGAAACTTACTGAGCGCACAACATCGATGACTGGGGCCAGTCCAGCCTGGTTTTTTGCATAATTGAGTCTTGTCTGTTCAGTTACAAGGGTCCATAGTTTATCCAAATTGACAGTGGGACAGAACTTTTGGTTTCTCTTCAAGTGATAGTGCCTCATACCCACTTTTCCAAAGTAGCCAGGGTGACTGTGAAAGAAAATACGTTTCTTGTTAAATCACATTTTTACTTCATCCTGAATCGATAGGATTGTAACACTGAAACAAGGATCTTAACTTGCTCAGAGTAATCAAAAAAATTAAAAAAAATTATTTCACTTTTGCATTATACACGTAGTATTCAACTGTAATAATCACTGCTATCCAAGCCACAAAAAAAAAAAAAAATTTCAGTGCCTCTTCTCCCCTGAACTTACAATTTAATCCTCCTCATGGTGAGTCTGGCCCAAATCTGTATTTCCATTGCAAAATCAAGTCAGTGAATTCAGGCAAGACTGCACTGCATGAGGAGCTCCAAAGCTCCTGTCACTAATCTGGTGACTGACTGAGACAGGAATGCTCACAGCCAGTGAATATAGATTAGTGGTTACTTTTCGAGTACTCTAGCACATCAGGACAACAGGCACTGTCCAGACGTGACTCTAGTCTCGGCATTCAGTCAACAACCCCCACTCCCTACAGTAGGCAGCTAAAGAGCAGTTCTGATTTATGTAACGTTTCTAATTCTAATTCATGTAACAATTCATATATGCATCTGTTAGCTGGACACCATCCTAACCAGCAAATTCACTGAGTTCTGCAAGATGACTAACTTAAGAAAGGCCTTTGAGTTTAGATAAAATGAGGACATGAATTGATGGCAGCTGTGAAGCCACGCTTTGTGTTAGAAGAAAAAATACAAGGGATTGTAAGTTCGTTCAGCGGTTCACATATAAAATATAGTTGTTTCTACTTCAGAAATGGGCATTTTTTGCTAGTACAAACTTAAAATGCTAGCTTACTATTTATCAAAGTTGATCCTGTGATGGTGCATACCACCAGCATTACCACGGCCTCCAGGATGCTTCCTGTGTTTGCCTGAAAAGAAAAATTCAACCTGTTACACCAAGAATACATAATGCTTTAACTTCGGACCACAATTA